TTTGCAAACTGCATCCTACGAGGAAAATCTTCAGGCAACAGTTCATGTATTTTTTTGCAAATGGTATGGATATAACAGCTGTTCTTGAAAAACTTCATGTACTACTGTTTTCGATGTATTAAACTGTGCTGATAATTTTTAAGTGCTCGTTGATGAAGTCTCTTCTACAGAAATTAAAATGTTTCCTCTAATTGTGGCGTACGTACGGTTCTTCTCAGACCAGCATCAGTACTATTTTTTTCAAAATTTCCTATAAATATGAAGAAAGTCAATAATACAGGTATGTATTACCTTATTAACTGACTGGAATCGCTCATCATTCTCCCTTAGACGTTGGTCAACTCGTTGAAATATCTTCTGGTTTGGCAGAGCACGATTAGGAAATCTGTCGTGATATAATCTTCTGGCTTGTAAAGCATTGCAAGACGCAAGACCATACATCAGATGCATATCTGCATACTCAATAAACACAATTCACAATAAAATTTACCACGAAATCCAAAAATCGGTAAATTAATAACGAAGTGAAGAATCAATGTGTAAGCGTTGTCACTTTGTTGTCGAAAAAAAAAAAAAAAATAGAAATCATGACCCTTTTTATTAAAAATAAAACATGAATTCGTTGATTATTCTTTTTTTCGTTCATTTTATCGACAATAAACAAGAGTACCTTTTTTTAGTCTAAGGTTGAAGCTACCCATATTTATTATTTTAAAGTCTTTATCATACAGGGTGTTAAAAATTTAGGCATTAAGTTAAGTTAAGCATATATTTATGTTATCTGTTTTAATTTTTTCTTACTGTGATCATCATGTTTATTGTTTATTCTTCTAATATTATATCTTAGCAGAATTTAGAAAAACGTAGCAACACAATGTTACCAACGGTTGTGCATCACAAATCTTCTGTGTTATTGACTAATGATCTACTTAGCTTGTACACCCAACAGAATACGTTCGAAAAGGAAACTCGTACATAACTGGGAAAAAATGTAAATATGATGCACAAGACTGATTCCAGCAGGCGCAGGCGGAAGAAATAATAAGAATGCCGCTATCAGTTTTACTTTTAAGTGGTGTAAACATTAGTTTCACTTTCTAATCTCTATATAAGTATATAAATTGTAATAGTCATCGTTTAATTTTACTCGTGTTTTTCTTTGATACTATTAACATTTTTTATCGCATTGTTATAAATATAGGTACTCACAATTATATTTGCGAAACAAGTGTGTAAATTTAATTTTTTTATATTTGTTTTGTTGGTTAATCATCTATTTTCACTTTCTGTTTGAATTCGACACAACTTGTAAACATGTAAAAATTTTAACAGTGGTTCCGTGAATTATGAAGAAATAAGTTCATATGACCAAGAGTTTGCAAAGGTGTTTCGTTTTCGATATACAGGGTGTTAAAAATTAATGAACAAATATTTTATTACATTCCTCAAGTGTAACTTCTTTGGGTGAAAATAATTTTGCTCCTCTAAAACGTAATGACCCTTGAGCTACATTATTTTTCTTTAATTGTTTTACAATAACTCGGCGAATTGAAGATACTTCAATGTGACTTGGTATGGAGGACTTTTTGGAGTAGCCAAATATGAATACAAGCTTTTTCTTTACCTAAAATATAGTAGATTAAACACTTTCTGTAATTATTTTCCCTATTTACATATTACTACCGTCACTACGTCAAAAAGTGACGCAAGTAGTAGGTATATTAGTTTTAGATATACCTACTTGCAAAATAAAATTGTTAGCCAACTTTAATGATCTAGCGGTTGAACGTAAAAAGGTACATTACTTTGAAGGACCATATTTTTGGACCCCTTCGGTTCATTTCATTTACGGATCACCCTGTATAGGGTGAATGCAGTAAAGCGAAGCTATATTGCAAGATAAATTTCAGTAGATGCTGACTTTTAAAGGAGGGTACGTTGATCTTAACCGTAATCCTAAACGCTGCTTCACAGTACAACATTCAGACGTCTACCTTAGGAGGTATTGGCTTTTTTTATAATGTAGGAATCAAATTTAGTAAAAAAGTAAAGTTTAATTAAACTGAAATTCTTTCAAATGCTTGAAGTAAAATTGAAATCCACTTTTCTAAAAAATTATGCATTTTAGTAACATGCAACACTTATTTTTTTTTACAGTAAATTTTCTTAAAATCTCCATAAAAAATGATGGTAAAACAAAGGGGACTTAGCGACTTCTTTTTAGGAAAATAATAGCTTACTTATGTTTATATTACCCCGAATTACTCCGCTTTAAAAAGTTTAGGCAATTGAAATACATATTTAGAAGGCAAGGAAGTTATGGTAACAAAAAAATACATTTATTTGAATATTTGTACTTCTAAATAACACAAAATTATATTAAGGTAACTCGATCTATTATTTTTTCATTTACTTATCTCAAAAAGCGGATTATCAACATAGCATGCATATTAAGCATAGGCACATTGTTGCAAGGTTTTTAGATTCAGGGTTATTTTTAAACACACTAACAGATTTAATAGAGTATGTATTTATACTTATTTACTGAATCGTTTTTTGCCAATCATCATTTTTCCATTACAGAGCGTGGCCTTCACTAACCTCTTTAATAATGTATTGTACACTTAATAGTTTTGGAGAAAATTAATCTTTGATGCTGGGATTTCCATCAATTAAATTCGAACAAAGAGAAGATGAGGTTTGCCACGTGTACCTCGCATTTATATGCAAATGAGGAAAATACACATCTCGTGTAGTATAAAAAAATGGTATTTACCTATAGTCTACATCTTTTAGTTTAATAATAATACGTAAATATTCCTAAAACCACTAGTCGTAAAAAATGCAACAAAAACAACGCAACAGTTGTTTTTAGCATAACCTTGAATATCCTATTATCCTTTATTGATCGATAATCTGTAGCTACTGTTTTTCATTGTTATGGCGAAATGCAGTGATTTAATTTATTATTATTATAGATATTGGTAAAAAAAATATTTATTTAAATTCAAACGCTGTTACGGGAGGGTTACTGTTCTAATCTACTGTTAAATTAATATCATAATGTTTAAATATAATTTATCCTTTTGATAAAATATTTCCTTTTGTGTAGGAATACCTTCCTAGAAATAAGACTGGCTAAACAATTCTCTGTGTATGTATGATTTTGAGAATTCTTTATTAGTTACAGTTGATTGCTAATCCAGTATGGATTATTCGCCATTAAGAATATGTGACCGTGTTAATAATGAGTTCAATCACATAAATATACTGTCAAATGCCAATTTCTCTTTTTGGTTAGTCATTAAACAATCTCAAGGCTGTATAAAGTACAAAGAACTATTGTAATATACTTATATAAGGACTTATAGGGAGGGACAAAATCTTATAAAAGTTTGAAACACAATTGCTTAAGGTTGAATGCAACTATTATTTTTCTTACATCTGACACTAATTTCTCCTATTACTTATTTGTCCTCTTTTTTAAAACAGAAAAAATGTATGTTATGTGCACATTTCACCAAACTTGTATAATTGCTTTAAGATCAAATTTTTACTCATGGGCTATCTTTAAAAGTTGATGGATTTCCTTGAAAAAATATTTATCTTGATGGTATCCAGGGTGTTTCAGAAAGATCTTCCGTAAATACAGGGGATGATAGTACGACAAAAAATAAGAATTTTTGTCATATGAACTATATGTCTATCTCTTCTTGTTTTCGAGACACAGAGCGACAAAATAAAATTTTTGAAATAGAATTTTTACAAAAATTTCCAAACGGTGCGAAATATCTTTATGAAATTTGGTATTTCGGGGTTTTTAGGGATGCCAAATACTCTAATTATTAATAATCTAATTATTTTTTGGATATTTCATAGATGGTGTTAGGTATGCTACATTCCTATTACATTTTAAGTTTTAATTTTTTTAAGGTTAGGTTTTTACCATTCGTGCTCTAATTTCTAATGTATAATTTTATTTTCTAAAAATAATGTATTCTTGTTAGAACTTCCTAATGTGGACAGTTTTCGAGAAAAAAAGCTTTTAATTAATCTCTTACAATATTAAGATATATAAAATTTTAGTGATTTTTATTGACTGTATAAGTTAGTAATGACTAATTATAGTAACAAAAATTTTAATATACTTACAGTTAATTAGAGTTTAAAATATTACTAAGAATGTATGCGTTGTTTATGAGACATCCATCAATAAGTTTGGACATAAGCCTACACAACATTTTGTTTCACCGACTGTGGTTGGTATAATTCTTAGAGCGTAAGTGTAACGGTTGATTGTAAACGAATCATTAATATTGGCGACGCCAAAATTTAGCGATTTTCCGTTACCAGTACCAGTCATGCAATGTTGGATTGCCTAAGTTCGAGTCACGTGGCTTGTAAATATTTATGAAGCCTCTGTATATCCTTTTATATGCGGTTGTATTATTAAGTAGGGAGTTATTTTTCTTGAAGGTTTACTAATATTTTCTACAATACCTATTCTTAATTATTTTATGGTGTTGCTGGGACATAATGATAATCTGACATTTAGTTCATTAAATTGGTCCATACCACTAAAAATATTTAAAAATTAATCAAATTAACTTTTGTAAGAATAAGTCAAGCATTGTTTTTATGAAATTATTATATTTATTTGCTGTTCACTGATGTTTCCAATGGAAAAATTAATTATCACCATTATTTAAAGTTAAAAAGTCGCCACAAATATTGTATACACCCTTGGACAAAATTGTCACATCACTTTAATAAACAGCAAATGCCTTTTAATAAACTCTTAAAGTAATCAATGTAACTTGAACTAAATACAAAGAATTGAACATTTTAATATTTTAACTGCTGTTCAAGGATAAAATTACGTTATTAAAATTTGATTCATACGTATAAGTCATATTAAGCATAATTATTAAATATAGCAACACGCCTATATGTACTATTTTAGAAAATAATAAATTAAAAAAATGTATTTTAATTTACAGGTGGCTGTAGTCGCTTTTGCATCTTTAGCTTCAATAGCGGCGATACCAACAACAGAATCAGTTGATGGAAGTGCAGCAGAGGAATACACACCCCAAGAAACAGCCGCTGAACCCACAGACTCATATCAAGTATATCCACAAGTACCCATAAACATAGAATTACCCAAAATAGAAATAAACCCAGTCCCATTCTACGCTCCAGAACCCATAACGTACCTCAAACCCCCGTCCGAGAACCAAGAACCCAATTTCTACCAAGTTCCAATACCAGCACAAGATTTAGTAGCTCCAGTAGAAACAGAATGGAATCCGAGCAACGATCCAAGCTTATACTACGAAGTACCTGCGGCGATAACCAATCAAGAATTGCCCACCAACTCCTATCCTAAGAAGTACAACCAAGAGATTCACTCCAAGACCAAACCATATTCATCCAAACCTAAGCAAGAAATCGTTTTGGAACCAATAGATGAGAAGGAATACGAAGCGAAACAGAAGGAACTACAAAAGTCTTTCCAGCAACTAGCCAAAAAGGAAAACCAAAAACAAATTGAAATTGAAGTGGAAAAGGTAAATAATCAAACAGATTCAGTAAAACCTGAGGATAAACAGATTGAGCAGCTCAGTTCTGACACAATTGTTGAAAGTGAATCAGTCGATGAATCAGACGAACACTCCGAAGGTTATCAGCAAGGATTAGATGAGAAACTAACTGCTTCCTTAGGCATTCCTTCTTCCTCGCATGACGATTCTTCTGATGGGGATAGAATTAACTTTCATATGGTGGGGCATGACGGTCCTGACTCTTATAAGTGGGGTTTTGACACTGGCAAAGGGTAACTTACACAGCTTTCTTTCTCTCATTCTTTTTACACCTAGATACTTTAAAAATCCATTGTTCATTTAACAATTCGTTAATCATTCATTTGTTTTTCATAACATCTGCGAAGGTCATCCAGAACCTAGTACCTGTTTTGCTTTTAGACAAAAACCAACTTGTTTAAAAATATTTATTAAATTTTATAAATACCTTCTCGCGCAAATACATTTTAATACAGATAAAGGTCACTTGGTGCTAAGTGCGAATTACACCCAGTGAGAACAGGAAAGTTAAAGTAACTTATTTATTTATTTATGTATGTATTTATTTATTTATTTATTTACTTATTGATATACTGTTCTGCTGGTGCAAAAACCCAACTACAGATCAGGAGGGTAAAGAGAAAAATAGTCAGAACGGTTATTCAACTGAACCGTCCTAGAACCCGTTCTCTGTGGAACCAAAACACATCATATGAGATCATAACACCATAAAAAATAACACTGATATCGTGAAAAGTATTAGATGAGTTAAATAACACCGTTAAAATTATAGTCAAATATTATTTTCGAGGAATCTAAACATTACTTATATTACGCCTCTTATTATTCATAGGACTTCTATTCAATTGGCACTAGTTATCAATTTGAATGAAATTATTAAGACATATAGGTACATTTCTCGATGTTCTCAATTGTTGAGAATATTTACAAGTCATCGGCATATAGAAGATAGTTAATATCTAAACAAATGGTTATATCATTGGTAAAAATGATAAATAATAGGGGCCCAAGAATAGATCTCTGTGGAACTCGATATGTGACTAGGCAATTCACAGACTTACACCCTTTAAGTAGGACATACTTAAATATATTTGTCAAATAGGATCCAAATAATTTCAACTGGGAATTCGAGAGATCAAATTTATTAAGCTTTGATAGCAATATTTCATTGTCAACTCTGTCGAATGCCATCGAAAAGTTTGTGTAAATAACATCTGCTGAAGAACTGAAATTTGTCTGCTGACATTATAGTAAATGTGACTGCGAAGTGAATACTCAATCATTTTTACTGAAATAGAAATATATATCCTGTTTACTTAATTTTTTTATAAATTGTGCAAGCTATTAAATATTTTCAGATATCCGGAAAAACACACATGTTGAAACAAATTAATTAAAAAAAGAAAGTGGATGTGCTAATAAACAAGAAGAGTCTTTTAAAATAAAAGCTGGCACACCATTCGGCCCTGTTTAGGGTCAGTAAATTTAACAACGGCAAGAACTTCACATTTTTGTATTAATCTGCATTAGGTATATGAACTGTGGTGATAGATTTAAATTTAAGTCAGAATTATCCGCGACTGCTGGAGTACAAAACTGGCTAAAGAAATTCGTAAAAGCATTAATGATGTTGGAATTTTTTAATTGTTCGCCTTCGTACACTGCCGGCCCTTTGAAAGTGGACGATTTATTTTTCTAATGTGATGTGGTCTACTTTTTATTATGACAAGTTTTTATATGTCACTGTCATTAGTAATTTGCTTGGTAATTCAAGATGCCGCGTTTAACGGAACTAGAGAAAGTGAGAGCTATAACTTTACTTCAGAATGATTGGCCATTGCGGATGATCTGCATGTATGCAAGAACAGCATATTTAAACTCAAAGAAAAATGGATTGTGGAGGGTCACGTACGTTATGTTCACGGAGGTGGACGTCGAAAAGTAACCACCTAAGAATAAATCCTTTTGACATGGCAGTAGCGGCTTCCTTTCAGACGAATTTTCCTGGATCAGTGCGAACTGCAAGGAAGCGGGTGAAAGATTCGGAGCTGAAGAATTACATATGTGGCCGCAAATACAGTTGCTTTGACTCTTCAGTATAAAGAACAGAGGTTAGAGTTTGTAAGACAATTTGTAGGAAGTCCAGACAACTTCTGGGACAATATTATATTTTCGGACGAAAAAAGTTTTCAGTCTTGCTCCGATGCTTCTGTCCGTGTCTACCCACCAGAGATTATAAGGTATTCGGAGCCTTATGTGAAACCTACACAGCGCAGCGATGGATTCTCCATTAACGTTTGGGCTTGGATAAGCTGCCAAAGTCCTGATGTTTGTTGTGACTGTGCTGTATCCTCAGAATTTCACTTTCAAGCAGGATAATTGTCGTCAGAATGGTTCATTGATAATAACATCGATGTTTTACCTTGGCCCTCAAAGTCCTGGGGATATATAGTGAAACAAATTTACGACAGAAACTTCCGTCCAGTTAACGTCGAAGAACTTTGGGAGGCAATTGAAAACGCATGGGATAACATCACTGAGGATTATAACAAGAACATTAATTTTATCAATGCCATGTAGATTGCAGTGTTATAGACAAAAATGGTGCTTGGACAAAATACTAACTTTACGAATCGCGTTTTTTTGACGACGAAAACTGTTTCATTTTTAGATCTCGTTGACGGCGAATGAATGATCGTTAGAATGTATAATATATTTCAGTATTGGAAAAATAAATAATCTGCTACCTAATTTGGATTTGTTTTGCTCACTAGAACTAGTATGATAGACACGCATTAAATTTGACATAATGACAGCCGATTCGAACCTCACAAGTCAGCTTCACAAAGGCAAATTATAGACAATTTGCTTATAATAGTCGTCCACTTTCAAAGGGCCGGCACTGTACCACATACTAATGGAAATATTATTAGATCCCCTTTTATTGTTAATAAAATACCGGCGTAAAAATAATAAAGTTTATTGATACCTTAACTATCAGTTTAATAACCACTGAAATGTCCCGCTAATTAAATTTTTTTTAACTCGAATTTTGACGTTAGTTTACAGTTTCTACTAAGCACTACAATAACTTTCATATGAAGTTTCTGTATAATAACTTCGCAGCTTGGACTTATTTAAAATCGCGCGCAAGTTCAGTTATTTAAAAAGGTTAGTCTAAAGTTTCTTCCCATGGCTACTAACTACAATAGTTTTTTGTTAAAATTATATTATGTTTTCTGTAAGGTACGGTTGAAAATTCGTTACTTATTTAAAAACAAAAACAACGTTTTAACACTTTTTCAACAATATGTTTTTACTGGGTAATCTCCTATACGAAGCGCGATGAAATTCGTGAACCTTTATAGCAAGTCGTATGATGCACTATAGTGCAAATGCAAAAGCCACAACATATCCGAATTCCTTAGTCAGCACTATTGAACGTATATCTATTTCGAGTGATAAATTTCAATCGTCGAACAGTTATCTCCTACGATGATTCAGTCAAGAAATGTATCACTTTCATTTTGATAGAGATACAAAAACAGTGTACATTCATTTCTTGGTATTGGTAATTTAATATTTGCGTAGCCATTCTCACAAACTTTATAGCAGCGTAACGGAACCCAGAACTTTGATAGCTCACGTTACTTTGATGTGAGTGTCTTTTGTTCGCAAATGGAATGACCTTCGTATATCATGCAATTTAATATTGTTTTTATTAATTTTTTGTTTATTATCATCGGAAGTTTTCAGTGAAAGTCAACTTTTAATGTTAAATTTTGTTGAGAACCTACTCGACAAATGATATTGTTATTAAATCCGCACTTGTTTTTTAACTATTTCTTCCGAAATGTCTGGTTGAGAACATAAAATCTTAAGACTAACTATTAAAAATGCTAAACATAAAAGAATCGATTAAGTATCTTGTTTTCTAAATGTACTGACACTGACTTGGTAATCATGCTTACTTAACATATTTCTTTTTATGTCGCATTCTGCATACCTTTGTTTCGTTTTACTACTGACTGATTGCGAATAACCTAGTTTCAAATCATACAATTCTCTGCTGCCACTGCTTACCTTGCATGAATCACATTTCATTTCAACTTCATTTAAAATGCGTATAATAAACAAAGTTATTGTAAATAATCCTAGAATGAAACCGAAGAGGAATTATTTGTAAATATTATTTTATATATCGTTACTTTCATCCTCGAAAAGGATTATGACTATTATATTATGAGAGTTAGAAGAATTATTTTTTATTCTTTATTAAGGTGTTAAGCTAATCAAACAAATTCTATCAAATTGGATTACACCACGCTAATACATTAAACAGTTAATAAAAAATAGTTACTCAAAATAAAATGAAATATTTAAATAATTAATAGAAAAACACATACCCAATATGTTTACATTCACAAATAATGAATTATTTGTTATACAAAAATTAATTGAAAGATAAACTAAAATTAATTTTTAATCTTCCTGGAAACGAAATATTTTTATTTTTTAAATACTTAACATAAAGTGGAACAAAAATCTCTAGAAAACTCTGTGTAAATAGCTACTAACCAATAAATTAGTTAAACGGAAACTCATTAATAACAGTAGGTAATTATGCCTAGTGGTTCTTAAGTAGGTACTTACCAATAATAAACAGGTTGATTATATTTGGAGAGAAAATTTTTCTACGAACATACATATGTTCTAAACAACTTAGTTTTACGAGGTGCAAGGTATTGAAGGTTTTTTTTATTGAAGGAAACATCACGACAGATGAATTAGGCTGGGGATGGTAATTTAATTAAGTAGGTACAGGAGAAAATTTAGAATATTTTTATGATTACTTGAAATCTAAATCTTTCGTAACTAAGTATTATTGTGGTTCCAAATACAATTCTAAAGGAAATATTCCATTCACAATAAATAGTCTTCTGACAATTTGTACAGTTGTAATGCAAAGCAGAAATCAAAAAACGGTTTGTATTGATGTCAAGAAAAAGTTTTGGGTACTTTGTAAATAACTTCTACAGTAAATACTGTCTACAGTATAATAGGTCCAATAAAATATGTTAATAACTTATAAGAAATAAAAAAATAATAAGTAAGGACAAAATTAGATACATTTAAGTCAGTTTTCAAAATTTAAGAGTACTTTTGTGGCTTTCTTCATCAAAAGGCATTCATGCTCTTCTTTGTAGTACTATTAAATATAAAAAGATTACACACTTATTAGATATGGTTTAATTTCTCAACGATTCTTCTCTTCATTAAAAAAAAAATCATAAACTACAACTTCATACACTTAAAATAAAAGTCAATATTGAAGAATTTAACTAAAATTAATAAAACAATGTAGGTAATTTTAAGAGTTTCTGCAAATCACTGAAATTGGCCAATACTTACATACTTATAGAATCAGTTCTATGGCATAAATTTCTTGGTTACTTTTTTGAAGTTAGGAAATTTGTCGCCATTAATGTATTAGGTATAGATACGCATATACCTACTAATATAATTTGAGTTCTTTAAGGAAATACAAAATAGTTCAGGTATAGATGGTAAAAAAAGGCAACAATGTTTTGGATATTAATCTTTTTTTTCTCTATGAGTATAATTATTATATTGATAATTGAACTGTATGAATTATTTAGCAATTAAAAATTAATTGATGATTGATTAACCATTTACTTAATTGCTTTTAATTAATTACATGATTTTTTTTCGTGCAGCCTGCACGAGGTGATTTCTAAATTTATGTTGGTATAATTTTATGACCATTTTTTATTCATTCACGATTATATCCAAATTGCTAATATTTTTTCGTAAAGTAAATTATATATATATAGATTTTAACCTTGATGATATTTTAAAACATCATTTAGACTGTTGATTGTAGTAAGTAAATATAAATTCTATAGAATTGTCACTGGTTATACACCGAGAATTTATCATCTTTTTTTTAATTTTTAAAAATCAAAATAGTTATTTTGATGATTAAAATTAGCTATAAATATATTATTGTTTTTTAAAACTTATCACAAGGTAAAATGCAATTAGGGAAGTTACAGAATTTTTTAATTTGCCTCTGTTAAAAATCTTTGCTTAATCTTCCCTGCTGCTAGACTTAGGTAGATACTTCTGTAAGTTCTATATCTATCGGAAAGAGTACCTATTCTATAAAAATATTATAACATATTTAAAACAATCTGTAATTTATATCTTAAACACCTACTTAAGGCAATTTATTTTTTACTTAATTAGATTTAAAAAAACGACCAATAGGATTAATCTATCTTCATAATTCTTGTTCATAACAAGGTATTTTCCATATTTAATACATATTATAAAAGCATGTAAAGTAATAGATGACTCATATCGCACTCTAAAATATGGCGAAGGTGCCGAGTTAAATCAAGTGCATTAATGTGCACGCCTATCAACTTTGGATTAACAAGTAATAAAAAAAACATATTTTTATAGTTAAGTTGTTTATTTGACAAAATGATGCCGCAAAAGCTTTATTTTTCTAATAAATATGCATATAGTGGATAATTTCTTAACCTGTTATAACATTATCTATTATTAATTTATTAGAAAATGTATATTTTAACCTTAACCTCAACTAACCTTAAAATTTTTAGACTTAGTTGAGCATAATTTTCCAATAGTGACCTAGTGACATGTATCGCTGTTGTTTTCATTATACCTACGTACAATTATGTCACTGCGTAATTATTGCGGATGTTAAATATTATAAATTAGTTACAGGTATTAGAGCGAAACAAGATTTTTAAAAAATTAATAACAATGAAAAAATATGTTAAAAGATAAACTTTACAGAAATTTTTAATTACCTATTCATTAAGTAATATGTTGGCTTAAATTCAGCTACTATAATTATATTTTGGTAAAAAATTAAACTATTAATTTCTTCAATAGTTATGTAATACCTACTAATAATATGTAGGTACTTAGTCAGAATATTTTAATGATTATTCCCCGTCAAACTATCGGAATTTTAAAAAAATCCATGAAAATTACTATAAAACCTGTTCCTCTGACCACTGTTTTTGTATATCTAAATAGATACAGAGCTCAACAGTGATTATACTTGCATTAATGTAAGTAGTAGAATTCGAATAGTGGTAATTTGCAAATACAAAATTACGTGGTTATCAACAGCTAAACCACAAATTGCTCGACATGCTACCAGATACTGGCAATAATTGATTTACTTACCTAAACAATCTTGAATTTATCTGCAACTATTACGCAAGATGAATGCTGATGTGAAATTTAGCTATATTGTAATTACAAATACACGTGCGGAGCATCTATTGAACATAAAGATTATACCTAAGTGGTTGTTAAAATGTTAAATGCAAATATGTAGCTGTTACGTGGTTAATATTAAGTAGGTGCTATAACCACTACTATTGACCCATTATCTTGCCTGTTACAAAAAAATATTGGAAAAAATCACGCTTGCAACATAAATTGATACAAAATGAACTAATTTTTTTGATAAATTTTTATATGAAACAAAATTATATTGACTTTGGCGAAATTAATTTGAACTAAAATAGCATTTATAATGTAATTTTGAATTGAAATAATTAAAAAATATATAATTTGTCCCAAATTTATATTCCGAATATAATTATATTCTGGCCTAACAATTTACTTATATTACCTATTTTGATAACTTTCAATGCGATGCGCAATGTCGCTAACAGCAGTCAGAAATGAACTACATATGAATAAAATAAAAAAATATTTAGGAGATGCTTCGTTTTTGAGATATAGGGTGTTTTTTTTTTTAGAAAAAAAAATTATGTTGATGAAAACAATAGGAATATTTAAGTACCTAACATCATCACTTTTCGCTTTGTCTAGGTATAATATTAATTGGTAAGTTTTTGGTGGTTTCAATTTACAAATAAATTTTCATGTATTGCCATCTTATTTTATTTAAAAGTAAATGAAGTGACTACAAACCGCCTGAAAAAATTTAGGAGCATTACGACATAGTTACATTAGATGTTAGGTACCTACTTAAATATTTCTATTGTTTTCTAAAAAAAAAACACCCTATATCTCAAAAACGAAGCATCTCCTAAATATTTTTAATAGTATTGGTTAAACCCAAGGGAAGGGGAGACAAAAAGGCTTATTTGACTCACACGTACTCGAGACTAATACCAATTTTAATAGGTACTATATTTTTTTAGGTTTCATGAGGAACGTCTTCCTAAAGTTTATCGACATAATCCAGAAGCACCTTTCCGAAATATCAATTTTGCCATGAAACTATAAGACCTAGGAAAAAAAGTGAATGTACACTTTTTGTCAATAACAAATTGTTCTATCTAAAAACAGCATCATTTTTTATTTTCTGTAGGGCCGTATTAATTTTTTTTTATAATTTAATGAGTCTGAATCCCCATAACTCCGCCACTGGTTGTTTGCGGGACTTCTACTTCTATGGAAAAATGGTATCTTATAAGAAGATGCGTCATGCCAAATTTGGTTTCAATAGCCTTCTTCATTTAGAAGTTATTTAAAAAATTTGAATTTTTAAAAAAATCTTTAACGCCCTATATTTCGAAAATGAAACGTCTCTGGAAAAAAATTTATACTTGATTTTTTCTTATTTTTTTATGAGAAATATCTCCTTAAAGTTTGTCGACTTAATCCTGAGACACCCTGTATATATACTATACTATGTATATGACTTTGGTGATCTGATATGTCTAAATAAAAATAATATTTCAATGAAGATTTTATATAGGTACAATTAAGTGAAATATTTCATAGACTTTTGTATTGAAACAGACATTTTATTTTGTTTATTTTTGAGAAAACCAATAAACTATACTTTTCCACAAATTAGAATCTTTGACTTGTTGTTGTCGGGCTAGTTTTTGTGGTGGCAAATCCATTATTAGAAACCTTAGACACGCCTCCACGTTGATTTCGGTTCGTGTTGTTGGTTCTGCGGTCACTGCAGACAGAACTGCTCCACAGATACTTAAAGGTCGTCCTTTAACACGTTTTATAGTGACCTTTGTAATTGGTCATATCCATTGCTTCCAAACGTTTCATCATTCTGCTCTCGGCATTTTCAGTGGTGACGCCGCGGGTTCTTAACGGTCTCAGTTGCGGCAAAGAATTTGGAAGCGTTGGATGCAACCAGTTACAATGTAATGTTTCATAGTATTGTAAAAATTGTTTGTGAAGCGGTTGCGGCGAGCTGGTTTTAGACCAGCAACAAGAACCGAAATCAACGTGAGGGACGGCCTAGGGTTTCTGATAGCATCTGCCCCCACAGAGCATAGGTCGAGAACAACAAGGGCGTTTAAAAAATTTGTTGTTAATGCTTATGAAGTGCAATGTAAGTCTGTAAGTCGCGACGTCCGTGTATATAGACCATGGTATAACAACCCGAGAAACCATGGTACTTTAAATAGAAGTAATATTTTCTCAATATTATTGCATAAAACGTATTATTTAAAAAGGACATATTTGTCCTTGATATTATTGCTTCTGCAGAGAGGTTGTACCGAGTAGCTATTTCTCCAATTTTGCGAAACTTGAGCGAAATTTATGGCCACGTACAGTGAAATTATATTGGTTTTATTTTTTGTTTGCAGGAGCAACAGGCAATTTAGATACGAAGAAAAGGACAGAACGGGGTTAGTTAAGGGTCACTATGGTTTCTATGATAGAGACGGAAAACTTCAAATAGTACATTATGATTCTCATCCCCGTGAAGGATACCATGCAGAGGGCAACTTTGGCAAAGCATAATTTACTTATTTTATTTTACACCACTATGTATATTATTCTTGTTGGAAATCTGCAAAGGTTGTTTTGCATTTCAACAACAATTATAAACAAATGCTCAAATGTTTGTTACTGTTAGTAAATCAATGTTTTATATTGGTTTTTTATTAGCTTTAATTAATTTTAAGTAATATTATTGTGATTGTTGCTCTTCTGTTATTTTGTATACTTTATGTATAAATTTTTATTTGTATTTGTTGTTTCTTTTTTTTTTAAATATCCTTTCATCAAATATTATATTTTCCTTTATCATTCCAAAATATGTCCTATTTAATAAGCAGCTTATTTAATTTATTCAATACATGGTAAACGTAGAACTAAAACTAAAACTCTTGCAATATACACGGTGTTAACGTAATAAGTACTCAAAATTTGAGAGTGTGTAAAACACTCGGGCTTAATAGTGTTTGTCAGTGGTGACTGGTGGCCCCTAAGGGAGATACGGCCCCTTGAAGGAAACTCAGGAAACAGTTTTTATTATTGAAAACGGTTTATTATTAAGTCACGAAATTTTGGGGTTATATTACTATTTGTATGCTTAATAATCGGTATAATATACGAATCAAAATTTGCTACAGGGGCGTAAGGAAATGGGCAAATTTTACAATTTTTTTTGTACGTAATTTTTTCTAGTTCCTGAACTGAAAATATGAAAATTTATCATATTTTGCATAAAAGAGGTACTCTTGTTAGCTTTTAGTAGCATGAGCCGTTTTCTAGTAAAATCCATTCCAATAATTCATTACCTGCTCAAAAATTCCTGCTGCAAAATAAATGTATCAAATTGTGCCATGAGAAAATTACTATTTGTAATACAGATGTGTCAACTATATGTCAATTACTGATTAGATTACCTACCTACTCAAAATTCCAATCTGAGAAATTTGAATTTAGGTACTGCTGTAATAAACAGAAGAAACTAAATTATTATAGGGCTACTAGTTCAGACACAGAGGAATCTGACAAGAGTACCTACCTTTTTTATGCAAAATATAATAAATTTTCATATTTGCGGTTCAGCAACTAGAAAAAATTGCGTACAAAAAAAAATTGTAAAATTTGCCCCATGGTCCCGCATTTTTTTACGCCCCTGTAGCAAATTTTGATTTGTATATTATACCGATTAAGCATACAAATAGTAATATAACTCCAAAATTTCGAGTTTAATATTAAATCGTTTTGAAGTTATGCAATAAAAACTGTTTCCCGAGTTACCCCTTCAAGTGGCCGTATCTCCCTTAGGGGCCGCCACTGACAAAACCTCTACTATAATTTTCATCATATTTCGACATGTTTTACACACTCTCAAATATTTATTTCGTTAACACCTTGTATATATGAAAATCCTGACGAATTTAAAGTAACCGCAGATACAATATAGATCGCAAGGATATTTTATAGATCTATAACCATAGATTAAATACACAAATCTGTAACACAGTGCTGGCAACTAAACATAGTGTTTCAAGCGGTTGCGCCGAGAACTGTTTGTTAAATGCGGGAACTTTGAAATATATAAATATTTTATTAGCATCTAATAGCGATCTCGATTTATTTCAATTTTGTATCAATACACACGTCGGGATATTTTCATCTTTTATTATTGAAATTGATACTACAAGATCAAAGTATGCTTATTGCACATGCAGTGTAAAAGTAAAAATAAATCAAAAACAATAAAATTGTTTATATTTTTGCTTATGGCAGAACTAACATGTGATGCTACTACTCATATTTATGTACTTACTATTTACTAAATCAGCATAAATATATTATGAAACATATTTAAAAAATAGCACAATAGATTCTTCATACCGCAAAAATAGAAACTAGTAAAAAAAATATTTATCGTAATTTTAAATTAAAAAAAAAAAAACAGTAAGTTATTAAAGGAAATATGACTTGGAAATCTTCACTCTTTACGGAGATAGTCTCAAACTGAACCACTGTTTGAAGAATTTAATGTAATTTATGTAGTTTCATTTTATTGAGTTATATGGAGTCAACATTGTTGACAACAAATTTTTGTATATTAGGATGTTATTTATCTTTATCTGGAAAACGGTGCCTAGAACTAAACATATGAGGGGTATAGATGCAAAACTCACAATAGCCACTTTTTAAAGTTTTTCAGGAAGAAGGAATAACTGATTTCTCATTTTTCAAGTGACTTAGGCTCTGAAATTTTTTTTGGTATTTGTATTAGAATTTTAAATTTGCTTCTTAATTGGTGAAATGACAGCACAACAATATTTGACTCCAAAAAATTGAATTAAAGTTTGGATAATGTGAGTTTTGATACAACTTTTTGGATAATGGTAGTTTTGTTCCAAATTATTTTACATAATAGAAAAACCAACCATCTAGGAAAGCAAACAATAAGAGAAGCAAAACTCACATTCTCCTTAGGCAATCGGCCATATTGGTTTATCGCTTTAAGTTTTTTCATTGGTGGATATGGATAATGTGAGTTTTGGCAACTTCAGATCGTAGGAGAATGTGACTTTTGAAACAATTCAGATTCCACAATTTAAAAATAAATACAAAAATGTGATATTGTACCACTTCTAAACTTTAAAATAGTGTAGTTCGACATGATGAACAAGATAGCGTCACTAACTCTATTTCGATAATGTGTTTTGCATCTATACCCCTCATATCTTGACATCCAGGGATGTTTTTAAATTTTCCACAACCAATTTATCTTTTGTTGGAAAATTGCCTAAATTAGACGTTCAAACAGATATTCTAAAGTATTTTTATTAATTTTTCCAATTTAAACAAAAAATATTTTAAACATATTTCTGCATAATCTGTTCAAAATTGACTTTGTTAAAATCATTGGGAAGGCCCCTTACAAAAAAATATATTGTACCATTTTTATGAATCTTGAGCACAATTTTTTTCAACAAAAATATATAATCTATTTACCTCTAACCAATAAGGCTTTAGAAACAATGCTCTTAACTATTTTAACCATACAAAAACTGGTAAGAGATTAATACAGGTTTCGAATAAAAATAATATATTCTCATGTCCACGAAATAGTGGATAATATTCTAGACCTCGAAGTTGAGAGTTGAAAATCGACTTTTAATAATTTCTTTTGTTTTTAATTAAATCTGGACAATTTTTGGGTAAATGCCGTTATTTGAAAAAATTTTTACTAATGAATTCAATTTGCCCATTTGAATTATTAAAGGTATTTTCTTGTCCCTTAAAAGATTTGTAGGCTACTTTTTAATTTTTATCTATTTTAAGAGTTTTGTACCTTTTTTAAGTGAAAATCGAGAGATCGCCTACAGTTCCTGGATACCCTGTACAAAAATTAATTGGCATATATGTTTTTCGTTTTTCTTAATATGAATAAATAAAAAACAGTACTTTATAACTATTTTTGTTTTAGAATAGTTCTATATATAACAACATATTGCAAATAAATTACAAATATAATTTTATATAATTAGGTTTCCATATTTTCATTATTGTTAACACAACTGACAATAAGATCCTCATATGTCCATTTAGGGAATACCCTTTTGTACAAATTTAACAGAACTGTATCTTGAGATGTTAGCTGTCCATCAAAAACACACTTCATATGGCCGTGGGTTCCTATTAAAAAAATTATTAAACTGTAAATTTCACAACTGTTTTATTTATTACCAAGAGGTTCCTTGATGTGCCCTGTCCTTCCCATTTTCGTCCTTAATTTACAAGGCTTGAAATACATGATATCCTCTCTGTTGAAGAACATAAATCTAATAACAGCTGATCTCTTATTAATTTTGAGTGGGTGACCTTAAACACAAAACTTTAACAATTATGCGTTACACAAAATTTAATCGTCGTGTTACCAGATAAGACAAGCCTTTTGATCACCAATCGGTCAGGGTTACATGACAACAAACTCCCTGTCGCGACTAGTACTAACTCATTGTTAACTTCTTTAAAACATAGAACTGGTGCTGGTGGAAATTGTATTCTGCCGTAAAATGTGGCAACTACCGTAGAATCTGGTTGGAAAAACCTTTCAAACTAAAATTACATTATGTTTGGAACGGAACAACTTTAATTTTAGTAATTTATCTTACTTTGTGTTTCTGACCGTTGGTGTGACTGCTGAATATCGGATTCACAAAAAATCTCCTATAACCACATTGAAATATTAACCTCTCCTTTGACTTGATGGGTAAATCGTAATGTTGGGTTCTTCTTAAGACTGTATTTAAAACAGACATTTTGTGTTCATGTGAAAACAAGCCGATGAGAACTAAGGGAAAATTAGATTGTTTAAAAGTTGACCATAGCAGTTGGGATACGTCCTTAATATGAATCGTCAAATACCAGCCAGGCTAGAAACAATTTTATATATCATACTTGTTTTTATGTTTAAAGATACGATTTTAAATGGGGTTTCTTGTATTTGTCAAGAAGTTAGAGAAAAAGTAGTTTATAGCAACTGATTTTTTGAAAAAATTGAACTGTAAAAATTACTTTTAAAATAACTTTATTCCATTAAGAAAGAGTGAGCACAAAAAACCTGTGATTTTCGCCCATTTTTTCACAATTCGCAGATAATTAAAAAAAATACATAAAAATATGATTTTGGTCGCAAATTACTTGTCGTAAAAACTGAAATGAGCATAGCTCTTAGAATTTTGAAAACTTTAGAAATCACCCCTACTTAGGGGTCGAAAAAATGTCAAAAATGAAAAATTTGAATATTACCAATTAATATAAAAACTATTAGCATGTGAATTATATATTTTTTTTGGAATTTTTACAATTATTTCTGACATTCTCCATTTTTGGGAATGATTCCATCCCCTGAGGCGCTTAAGCGTGGATTTTCTAATTCAACATGCTTATTTCAGTCATGAGAATAAATCTTTCTTTGTATCAAGAATCATTTCATAGAAAAATTGACATGCTAATAGTTTTTATATTTATTGGTAATATTAAATTCTTCATTTTGGGTGTCTTTTCAACCCCTAAATAGGGGTGATTTTTGATAATTTTCGAAAAACTAATCTTAATTTTTTATGACGAGTAATTTGGGACCAAAAACATATTTTTATCCATTTTCTTTAGTTCTTTGCGAATTATGAAAAAACGGTCAATTTTTGCGATCACTCTTTTCATTTCTGATTATTTTCTGTGATAAATGACTTTTATTTGAGATTTTTTATTTTTGCAAATTTCTTATCAAATGATGTGCCGCACATGATTTAAGGAGTTTTTTTATTTGTTTATTAGGCCGCTTCCAGACGGGCGACTTTTTGAAGCTGAAGTCGGCCACAAAAAGTCGAGCGTTTGTGGTTGACTGTGGCTACTTGCAGTTATCATTTAACAACCATGTAAAAAACGATTCCCTTTCATACGGGCGTTTTTTCGACTGCAATCCAACTTCTGCCGCTAGTTGTTACCGATCCCGTTGACTGACTACACGCTGACTACATTTTTCTTTTCATACGGATCAGTTTGGAAGTGCACCTCACGGCGGCAACAACATGCATGCTTTATTTTGTTGTCAAAATGGAGCCGTTTGATACGGATAGTTTCATACAAGAGTGATTCTTATAGTAACAGAAATGAATAACGAACAGAAACAAAAGCTTGGGTAAAGATATATGAAATATTTCATAATAATTTCCAGGAGTAAAGTAGTAACAAAACAGTCCAAACTTTAGACTGTCATTGAAAATACGATGTACCCAAAATTTATACGGTTTTCTTCTTTTTCGTCTTCGCTTTAGGAGCAACAAAAGTAATGTTTCTTTTATCAAATTCATGCTGCTAATGACCACATTTTGTCGTCGATGTAACCACAGCAGTTGCGAATACAATCACAATGTGTAGTCGAAATTGGCGACAAGATGCCGATATTTTTGCGGTCAACTTCGAGTGCAAAAAGTTACCCGTCTGAAAGGGGCCTTAGAATCTTTGCATTAATACCTTTTCAGAAAGACTAAATAGTAGGACTGTGAATTAATTTTGATGGATTTACAATAGATGGCGTAACTTATGCTATCTTGCATCGGACATTTCTGTAACTATATTCATGTTAAAGCTTTCCTTTATATTATGTGTACATACATATACAACACAACATATTTTTTCTCAGCTCTGAAGATGTCGAATTATGAGCCAATGACCACCATTTGCAGGAAGTTTTACTTTTCCTGTTTAATTCAAAGAAAAGTGCTGCTAAAAGTCATAGAGTGCTGTTGGAAACTTGCTGTGAACATGCTCCATCGATAAAAATGTGTGAGTATTGGTTTCAACGCTTTGGAACTGGTGATTTTGATATAGTTGACAAAGACGCCCTGGTTAACCGAAAAAGTTCGAAGATGAGGAATTGGAAGCATTATTCGACCAAGATTCATGTCAAGCACAAAATGACTTGCTGAATCGTTGAACGTTGATCGTACAACAGTTTCCAAAAGTTAAAATGCGCTCGGTGTGATTCAAAAGCAAGGAAATTGAGTGCCATATGAATTGAAGCCGAGAGATGTTGAACGGCAATTTTTCACGAATGAATAATTGTTTCAATGGCAAAAAAGAAAGGGTTTTTTGCACCGTATCGTCACTGGTGATAAAAAATGGATACACTATGATAATCCTAAGAGAAAAAAATTGTGGGGTTTGCCTGGTCATGCATCAACATCGACGGTAAGGCCGAATATTCATGGTTTGAAGCTGATGTTCTGTATTTGCTAGGACCAGCTGGGTGTGTACTATGAGCTGCTTCAACCGAATGAAACCATCACTGATGAACACTACCGAACACAATTGATGAGTTTGAGTTATGCAATGAAGGAAAAACCACCACAATTCGAGCAAAGCTACGACAAAGTAGACACTGAAACGGGATGTTTTACTCCACCAGCCATATTCACCAGAAATTGCTCGATTAGATTACTACTCGTTCCGATCCATAGTATACATTAAACGAATGAAGATATTAAATACGGTTCTGCCCAGTCAATTTTCCTGGAAAAATTGAAAGCAACTGCTTCCCTCCCTTCCTTACTATTTTTTGTTTATCTCCTTGAAAAATATGAGAAACCCTCCTAAAGTATCAAAATTGGTTTAAAAAATTTATCAAAAAGATTTATAATATACTTAATAATGCTTTATTATAAAAAACTTACCAATGCACCATCTTTTTCTTCTTGTTCCTTCAAAATTCTTTTCTTTGTTCGATCAAAATTTTCAAACTGGAAAATTCTGCCGTAATCACTTGGAAGATTTTCTTTAGAATCCCAGGGCGAAGTTCTGCAAAAATATGAATACACGTAATATAAACCAGTCAAGTTTGGTTAGATAATGATTTACATACCTAAAACTTTCCAACCCCCTGTATTTTTGAAACCTAACCCTCGCAGGCTGATCCATAGGAGTATCAATTTCATCAGGAAACTGTTGATCGGTCTTTGCAGCTTTTAACTTTGCTAATGCTTCTTTTTCAGCATACAAATCCATTTCTTTGTCATATTTTTCGTCGTTTGGAGCTACTTCCGATTCCGTTACTGATTTAAAGTCATTATCATCATCGATATTTGATTTTTCACTATTATCTTCAGACATGACATCCAAATATTCTTTATCAGATCCTTCTTCTTCACTTTCAGATTCGTCCAACTCGAATTCTGCATCGTCGTCAGGGATCCACGCTGCCTGGTACTCGGACCAGCCTTTAGGAACTTTTTTCACTTTTTTTAGCTGCAGCAAACATATCATTACATAATCTGCGAAACTCTAAAAACCTTACTCACATTCTGTTCCTTTTCTGCCATTTCAATTTCCTCGTTTGTCGGCCAAGTTTGTTCGGCGTCCATTGGATCAGGAATATTTTCTGAATCTAAAGATTCCTGTTTCGTTGAATCGCATCTTTCCAGAACTCTAACTGATATAGATTCAGCAACATCCATTGCGCTGGTGCTAAAAAGAAAAATATCAAATTTCAACTTTGAAGATTTTATGAATACCGTAAAAAATTTCAAGTCAAATATTGATGACATTTTCAAACTTTTTAGGATTGTCTCTAGGTCTTTCAGAATTACTACTGTACAATTTTGTTTAAAAAATTACAATGGGGTTTTATTATTTTCTTTTTTTATTTGTATTAGCATCACAGGGTGGAGTAATTTTGGGCAGCCTATAAAAGTATAGGAAGTCAAAGTAGATTTCTTAAGGTTAAATCGGAGACAGAGGCGAAAAATAAGTTATGCAGACAAAAAAAAATGTTTTTAAACAGAAAATTTTTTATCTTTATTAATTTATTCTGTTTGATCTTTGATTTTTTTCAGACAATTTTTGGGGCCCCATCGCCCCCCCTGGATCCGCGCCTGTTCGGAGACAGAAAAAATGAAAAACATTTTTTTATTAGGAAAAGTTAAAAATGAACTAAAACAGACAATATATTTTAACTTGTACGAAGAAAAACTACATTCTTTGATATAAAAATTTGATATATTATGCTTATAAATTTTTTTTAAGATTTGATTTGATTCAGAAAATTTAAATGGTTTCTCCTAAATAAAATTCGGTCACTTGGCACAATTTTGTCTTTATTTGAATAATCTCTTCATTTTTAAGTGTAATGTGATAATTTGAGAAGCCCATCTTCTTCCTGCACTCAGCATTGTTCCAAAAAATAACCCGAGTTAAAACATTTTCCGTTATATCCTGTATATGTTTTTTTGACTTGAGATTTGCGAGTTTTAGGTTATAATATATGTTTAAACAAATGTTGAACTTGAACCATAATGCAATTTAATAGTATAAGCATGAATTTTGATAATAAAAACATTAACATATCGGAAAAGATAATGGCTCTTATATAGTTGACTAACTTTATAACCTTTGTTAGAGTAGTCCATTATGCAATTCATGAACCTCATATGTATATTTAATATTATTTAATTATGTAATTTATAAGCAAGAGGCTGCTACCTAGCGAATTTATCTCCAAAGTAGGAGCAGCCCCGTTTTACTGCAATTAAATAACATAATTTTACCAACCCAGTCTTGTTATTAATCTTATTTGGATCACTTAGAGCATCAATTTGGGCCATTTGGAAGTCACCTAGTCCAGGAATATGAATTAACTGATTAACAGATAAAGCAGTACCTCTTAAATAACCCGTCACTTTTAAAGTACCTAGCGTACCTGAAAAAAAAAAAAAATGATAACAAAATTAAAAATGGCAGGATATCACATTCAATAAAATACAAGACAATAACAATGTACACCTCATCTACACATAGTGAACAGTTTAAGATCTAAGTTAACTCGATTTATTAACAATATCACCAGTGATGGTTACCTTTTTTAAGGACTGATTTCTAGGCCCACATAGAGAACTTTTGCGCTGAGAAAATGTCGAATATAATTTGCAAAATGAAAAATAAAATAAGAGAGGCCAACCATGCGATTTTGAAAAAGGTTGCACGTATATACATAATATTTATTTTTCATAATCATCTGCTATACCCATAGAGGCTGTGTTAAGCGAATGGTCAGACCGGTCAAAGTTGTTCAGTGGACAAATGTTTCGTTGGTCAGCCCAATTGGCTGATTGGGAATATTGGGCAGGTTTTAATACAGTTAATACAAGCCTGTTGTTTGACTAAAGAAGTTTCACGAAACTAGTCCAACCATTCGCTGAACACAGCCATAATCAGATGTTTTCATATTTTTTGCAAAATTAATTTTTCTTCATAATATGTACAGGGTGTTGCGCTTAAATGTGATACAAGCCTGTAACTTCTTTATTTTTTGGTCGATTTTAAAAATTTTTATTTTGGAATGTGGGCTAAAAAAAACTATCTAACTGTGATATTGCTGTTTTTATTAATGCAATTCACGACCAACTAGGACGTGTTTTCTTGACATCAAGACAGTTGATTGGTATTAGCGATTTTTTTCCAAAGAAACAGATTACGTATTCTCATTCATAATCCCTTAAAACGTCTTACCACCAAGTTTCATCAAATTCGATACATCTTCAGGCGAGCACTCCATGATGTCGTGAAAGTAATATTAATGCAATACACGGCCAACTAGTGCTCGTCTGAAGATGTATCAAATTTGATGAAACTTGGTGATAAGCCTCCGCTGAATGAGAATATGTAATCTGATTTTTGGAAAAAAAATCGCTAATACCAATTAGCTGTTTTGACGTCCAAAAAAAACGCGTCCTAGTTGGCCGTGAATTGCATTAATAAAAAAAGAAGCATTATAGTTAGATAGTTTTTTTATTCTACATTTAAAAATTTTTGAAATTGGTCAAAAAAACAAAGAAGCTACAGGCTTGTATCACATTTAAGCGCGACACCCTGTATATATTTAAATTTAATTTTGATAACAATCCATTTTTCAATCTTCATATTGCTGTAACTTTCACAAAAATTCAGATTTTTTTGAACAATAAAACACCTATTTGTATGTATCATCAGTTGATAATAAAAAAAAAAAAAATTAAATATATTTGTTGTGAGAGATCCCTGTGGGCTTAGAAATTATCTGTTAAAAACCGATAGGGGTCCAACGCTTCATTATCATAATATGACCACTTTAATTTTCACGACCGTCAATTTCTGTCAGTATAAAAACAAAAAACCTTTACACTTCGATCTTGAATATATTTAATTGAAATAAAAACAAAAATCAAACATCTATAGGTACCTGTTTCTTCAGGCAAATATTCCACTTCTTCAGCAAGCAAATGTGGCCTTCTATCTCTATATAATATCGATTTTCTCTTTTGGTTGCCAATTCTGCGTAAAATATTAACACCATCTACGTTCTTATCTAATACCATTACTTTTTCTTCAGGCAGCCATTTATTTACAAGTTTTTGAATTAACTGTTTGTGTTCGTGTCTTTTTTTAGGGGTTATGCTCTCTAAATCCGTTATCGCTACTACAGGTGTAGGAAGACCCTAAAAATGAAATTAAAAACAGAAGATTTTTTTTATAATTGAGTTTCTATCTAAATATTATAAATATATTAGATATTTACTTGGGAAAGAGATGAGGTCAAAATTGTATTTCCCCAATTATCAATTAAAATTGTGGTATCTTCTATTCCCATTGCAGCCGATATTAAAAATAAAACAGTATCAGACACTTTTAAACAATCCAGAACAGCCAGTTGATGTTCAATTTGTGGTGTTATAAAAGAAAATCTTTGCTTGAAACGTGGCATTCTATGATACAGAAAAGCTTTTTATTATTTACTATTACAACTTATTTGCATTGCAAATACTACTTACCCAATGTGTGTAATACCGGCTGAACTTTTATTTACAGTTGCTTCTTCATCACACTGCATTAAAATATTAAGAGCTGAATTGCAATCTAAATTTTTACAAAGTGGAACAACACATACTAAGAATGGAGCATATTCATTGCCACCTAAAGATCGTTTTTTAGCTAATACTTCTTCCCTTTTCTTTTGTCTAATCTGTAGGGCTTGATTACGTCTTTGTTCTTTATTAAGTTCTTTTCGTAACTTCTTTGATATTGTTTTAACAGAAACCTTTCCTGCAAAATAAGTAACATTTTTTATAAGTAAACTAATATATTATAACCTAACTTACCTTTTGTAGATATATTAATTGAACCTTTCGAACGATGCCGACCATGTTTATGTTCTTTATTTGATTGTTTAAAAGCCCCGGGTCTATGAGCAATCCCTTTTTCTATAGCCATCATTAAAATGCTATGAAAGATATTTTAGATACAAGAAAAATAACAAAATTACCTAAAAAACATGTTTTAAACACGTGCACATTAGCCGATAGCTGTCAAAAGTGTCAAGTCAAAAAAAGGCAATTCTTGCTCTTGACAAACAGGGCAGGCATCATAGATAATTGAAACCACCCTACAGCAAGTTGAAAAGAACGTCTAGTAATTTACATAAAATTCAATTTTATGTTGGCTATCTATATTATGAATAACTCGCGCATGAGCAGTAAGAAACCTATTTTCTGCGCAATTTAAATTTCATCTTTTCGATTTCATATGACGAGTCTGTAAGCGACCACGCTCGTTTTTGTATAATTGTTGATATATTGAATTATGCCCTCATTGACTGCTTAAAATGAAAGATATAAACATTTTTTTCCAAAAACTGAAAAGTTTTTGTGATGTTAATGAACAGTTTCGTATTACATTCGAGGTAAATGATTTAGAGGTGATAACCTCACTTATTCATTCGTTATATCGCCTTTATTTTGTTTTTTAGTTAGTAGAGAAGACTAAAAAATTGGAAGAAGGAGCAAAATGTGAAATGCTTTTTCATTACATATCTAGAGAGCTACTGATTATCCCACAATATTTTAGTGATGTATATAATCACTTTACCGAAGAATTCCCCAAATTATTATTTGAAGCTGTATTCTTCAATGATAACGTTACATACAATAATAATAGACATATCTGTAATTCAGTATTACTAGGTAAAACCGTGAAGATCAGAGACGATTTGGAAGGGTAAGTTTATACAAAAAATTATACAGGGTGATTCACAAACGGTGATCAAAAATGAAACCTCGTATTCTTTGGTGAACTTTAAGGGAATTCTTTCGTTATAAAGTTTTATCTAGGAGGCTTCATTAAAAAGATAGAGGATGTTAAACTTACAAAAATATTTTAAATTTTCTTAAACATAGGTAATTTAAAAACTAGTAAGTGAAATAATTTTACATATATTTATGTAAACATTGTCCAAAATCTGAGGCCTTTTCGTTTTTTAAGTTTTACTCGAAAATCAGGCTTTTTTTAAAAAATATAAGAAAGTAGTAATTTGTAGAAAATTGAAATACGAATCCTAAAATATCAAGATTGTTACCGGAAAGCAGTGGCGTACTATTTTATTTGGAAAATATGTCACTGATACCTGTATCTCCGCCACTGGAGCATCTAAGTTTTCGGAAAAGACCTCAGATTTTGGACAATGTTTACATACAAACGTGCCTAATTTCAAATTATTTCACTTACTAGTTTTTAAAATATTTTAAAAAATTTAAAATATTTTTTTAAGTTTAATACCATGTGTCTTTATAACGAAGTGTCCTAGATAAAAACTTTATACGAAAGACTCCCCTAAAATTCACCAAAGAATACGAGGTTTCATTTTTGGTCACCATTTGTGAATCACCCTGTATATATTTTTAAACATTACGTTATGGAACTTTTAATGGAAATTAATATCTATTATTTAAGTTCGTGAACATATTTCTTTTTTTTTACTGTATAATGTTAATATAATCTATTCTAAACGTATACAGGGCGTCTGCAAATTTCACCGACAACATTTGACTGTATATTCACGATGATAAATAAATACTATACGAAAAAAAAGTTAAATAAAAATTTTTTGGTTTTTGAGTTACAGGCCTTTAAAGTTGTCAAAAGTAAATTTTAATTTAATTAATAACTGCATAACTCTTTTACCGATCACTTTAAAATTTGGCACATTTATTTGGACTATTATGGCCTATTATTTATTTCTGGTTACCTCTCCCTTGTTTTACAAGGAACGAAGTTGTAAATTTTCATAATTTGCATGTTTGTGACCATAATGACATTACCTGATAGCCACAGCAATCAACATCTTTTCTATCACGCGCGTTGCGCTATTGGACCTATAGCATAGGGGATTATGTGCACAGAAAGTGCCAGATAGTACAATGGCGTGATGTTATTTTCATAGCGCAACGCTCCAGCGTCCCATAATGACTCCCACTTGTAATAGAAAATAGTATATGCAACTCGTTCGGAAAAGTTGCCATAGCGCCATAGCGCTTTCCACACTCGCTTCAACTGCGCCCGCGTGGCGCTATTGGCAACTTTTCCTCACTCGTTACACAATGTACTATTTTTCATCGCCTACTTAACTCACAATTTTAAATCCGTGACATTGCTACGCAAACCGAAACATACAGACCTCCAAATAATGCGATTTTTCTCAAGAATGGCTTTCTGTAGGCGATTTTTTCAAGAGACAATTTTTTTTTTTAAATAAAACGACCATTTCAATGTTGCTGCCCATTTTAAAAAAATACGACCGCTGTAAAAGTTTTGACCTCTAAAAGGAAGAGGTAACCGGAGAAAACTATCACCCAGTATATCGCTTTGACTAAAGCTTTCAGAAATAATATACGTATACGTATAGTCCAAATAAATGTGCCAAATTTTAACGTGACCAAAAATTTTTTTTTAACTTGTTTGTAGATCATATTTATTTATCGTCCTGAATATGCAGCTAAACATTGTTGGTGAAATTTGCGGACACCCTGTATATCGGTACAAACTGGAACAGATTAAGGATTAGAGTTTTTCTACACTTATATACCAATTTATAAATCCATTTTAGGTATGCACTAAAATATTTTGGGTTACATCCAGCTCCTTTTGAAATGTATATTCAAGACGTTGCTAAAAAACGTAAAATGGAAAATAGAATTGATATTTCAGACTTAAATATAGCCGAGTGCTGTTACTTTCTTTTAAAAAGTAATCCAGCCTATTATCGTAATAAATGGAATTGGTCAGTTTTCATAAAAAAATATTTAAATCACAGTGACCGTAAAGTTGCATGGTGAGTGAATTTACATAATTTAAAAAATGGGTATATTTCATTGTCATTTTAATATTCATTTTAGGATTGCTTGTCTCAGTTTATCAGTTCTTTTGGGAATGAATGAACGACAACTGGAAAAACTTATATCTAACTATGTAAGTCCTGAAGATGGCAGAAAATTTGCTTGCTGTTTTAATTTGTCCCAGACAATATCTGATAAAGATAAAATTGTACCAACATTAGACCAGCATCCAACAATTTATGCATCGGAACAATTAACAGATCTAATTACAAACATCTCAGGAATTTATATTCCTACAGTTAGGAGAATTGACAACATTGAAAATCCGTTGGTTGAGGTTCCCTCCACTTACAATAATTTACGTAACATTGCTTTAGGCTTAACTTCAAAAAAAGCAATTTGTTTGCAAGGACCGGTTGGATCAGGTAAATCCAGCTTAGTAGAATATTTGGCATGTAAGACCGGCAGAAAATTGGGTGAAAACTTTATAAAAGTACAGTTGGGTGACCAAACGGATAGTAAGATGTTGCTGGGAACTTACCGATGTACTGATACACCAGGAGAATTTGTGTGGCAACCTGGAGTATTAACACAGGTAATTAATTATTTATCTATGTCCGAGACCTTTAAATGATTTATTCTTCATTTTTTAGGCTGTTTTGGAAGGAAACTGGCTCTTGTTGGAGGATATTGATTCAGCTAGTATGGATATAGCGTCATTATTAACTAGTTTGATAGAAAACAATTCCCTTACGGTGCCTGGTTATAGAGATTCAGTTCCTGTAGCATCTGGGTTTCACTTATTCGTGACACAAAGGTAAATTCTTCATCACTTTTTTTCCATTCTGTTGATGTTGTAAGAGATTCTGACTACTTGTTTTAAGCTTTTTGGTAGATACCCCTTTGAAAATCTGATTTTGAACATTAATAGGTTAATTTAACCCTATACGACAGTTATTATGCTTAGTGTTCGCAACCGTACGATAATTATCGTACATATATGATAATTTCATGCCTACATACGATGTACGATAGCACACACAGATTGTACGATAATTTCCATTATGATACAAATTTTAAGAATTCATTTTATTCCTATCCTGATAGCCAATAACGTGATGATTCTTTCTTTTTGCTAACAGCGCTTAGTATTACCTCATTCCTTCGTTAGGTAACGTGCTGTTTTGCTGATTCATGTGTCTATTGAATTATCCATTCGTCGCATTCTTCTTATGAAATTTATTTGTCGTCGCCGTTGGTAAAGTAAATTACATCATATACATATATCAATATTACGTTTAATATGATTTATTTATTCATTATTTTGATAAGTACGATAATTCTGGTCCATTTACGATAATTTTACGCTGCCTCACTTAAGGCTGTGACAACTAATTATCCCTCAGTCATTTTTATGGAATGACGACTACATATTTATGATTTTCAAATTTTATGGCCTCTAATTCAAGGATTATTATTTTTTTTAATGCCTGTTTAAATTTAGATATAACATTTTCTTAAAAATTAATGATTTCTTATTTAAGTAAACATCTTTAATCAAATGATTTACATCATTTCAACCTTGGCTTTAGGGTATCTTGAAGACAAAATGGTTTTGTATTTTTTCAGATTTGTGTCAACTATAACGGGACATCATAAAAAACATTCTAATGCCATGACATTGTTAGAAAAACATTTACTGCAAATAAACATAGACCCTTTAACTACAGAAGAATTAAAGCAAATCCTAAATACTTGCTATCCCAAATTTCAAACTATTACAGACAGAATGTTAGCAGTTTTCAAATTATTCTCACATGCTTCTTCAGAATCCAAAATGATTTCTCTTCCAAGAAGTGCCAGATTAATTTCAACACGTGACTTTTTTAAGTGGTGTTCGAGAGCTATCATAGACTTTGATATTAAAAGTCAAGCTAGTGCTTTAAAAGTCTTACAAGACGCCATCGATGTGTTTTGTTGTTCTTTTCCAAACTCTGAAGAGGCCCTGAATTTAGCCAGACAAATTAGCACACATCTAGGAATTATAAATCAGAAAGCGGATTATTTCTTTAAAAGTTACAAGCCAAATATGAAATTAACCACCAATAGTCTGGTTGTTGGAAGAGCTGTTTTGTCAAGGGAAAATAATCAGTTCTGCAAAAAAGTCAAATTTTCATTTACCAGACCTACATCAATCTTGCTAGAACGAATTATGTGCTGCATTAATTTGAACGAACCTGTGTTGCTTGTGGGAGAAACTGGCACAGGGAAAACTTCCTCTGTGCAGTACTTAGCCCACACTATAGGACAAAAGTTAGTTGTTATAAACATGAACCAACAATCAGATTCTGCTGACTTACTGGGAGGATTTAAACCAGTTGATTTAAAGTTTATCGTGGCACCAATCCGTAGAGAATTTGAAAGAATTTTCTGCAATTATTTCCAAGTGGAACCTAATAAAAAGTATTTAAGCAATATTGCTCTATGCTTCAACACTCAAAGGTGGAGTGATTTAGTTAAGCTTATGAATAAAAGCTATCAAGCTGCTGTGAGTCGATTGACTAAGGCAATACATGACTTTGAATCAGAATTGAAGACAAATTCCAAGTTGGAAGAGGAGAAAATCGGGAAGAATGAAAAAGACGTGAAGTTTCTGTCAAGTTGGAAATCTGTTGGGGAAAAGCTACACAAGCTGGACCTTCAGTTGAAGCAGAAAAATGCTCTAGCATTTGCTTTCATTGAAGGAAGTTTGGTGAAAGCTGTCGAAAATGGCTACTGGGTACTTTTGGATGAAATTAACTTAGCCAATGCAGAGACTCTTGAATGCCTTTCAGGGTTGTTAGAAGGTTCAAAAGGATCTATATGCTTGTTAGAAAGAGGTGATAAGCAGCCTGTAGTACGACATCCTAACTTTACTTTATTTGCCTGCATGAACCCCTCCACTGATGTAGGGAAGAAAGATTTACCTGCTGGTTTGAGGAATCGTTTTACAGAATTCTTCGTGGATGAGTTAAATGATAAAAGTGATTTGTTGTTACTGGTTAATAATTATCTAGAAGCAATGTCTCTAAAGGATAACGATTTGAATAAAATTGTTGACTTTTATTTGAGAGTCAGGAAGGAAGCTTCTTCCACCTTAACCGATGGGTTAGGCCACAAACCGCATTTTTCTCTTAGATCCTTGTGTCGAGCTTTGGTGATAGCTTCTAAAAATCCGTGTGGAATGTTCAGGAGAAGTCTATATGAAGCCTTTTGTTTGAGTTTTTTGACCCAACTTGACAGCAAGTCCTACCAAACCGTTGAAAAAATGATATCAAGGTAGTAGAATTTAAACCTATGAGAAATGTTGTACTGAAAAATGTTTTTTTTCCAGTTACTTAATAGGGGATGAGAGGTCCCTTAAAGCAGTATTAAACCAATCTATACCCGAACCACAAAAAAGTAATGATAGCTACTTACAGTTTGAAGGATACTGGATTCGAAAGGGATCTATAGAACCCAATTCTCCAGATGGTTATATATTAACGGAATCTGTTAGGAAGAATTTAAAGGATTTAGTAAGAGTTGTGTCAATAGGGAAGTTACCAGTACTTCTACAGGTAAGATTTTGTTTATATGAAGTGTGATGCATATGTAAGTAGTAGAAAAGTTAATATTCTGAGAATTGATACTGATTTTTGAGGAAAATCCTGGAAACTTTTGTTTTTGAAATGCAAATAATATTTCATTCACTGCTAACTATGACTTTAAAATATTAAATTGCAATTTTGTTTGCACTATTCTTACGAAAGATTCGTGTATTAGAAAAATAGAAGTCCAGGGTTCGAATTGTATAGTCTGAGGATGTCCCAATATTATGGCAGATATAGGTAATCTTTTGGACATCCGATGGATATTTTGTTACAAATCGGGATATTCTTCAGATATTCAACCGTATGTCTCAAGGACATATGATTTGGACTATACATAGGGTATAGCAAAAGTACCGGAACGGCAGAATAACTCGGCAGGAGAACATCTTAAGAGAAAAATGTTAAATACAAAAGTTTCAGGATTTCTCCCTGGCTATGCGATGATGACCTTGACATTGACCTTGACCTTGAAGATCATTTCAAGGTCAAATGTGATTTTTCAAATCGGACCCTATACTTTTGACCCCAGAAATGAAAAGAGCGGAAAATTTTATGTTCAGATATACCTTGAATGACCTCTCCCTTTTGACCTTGGGGCCCCCACAAGGTCAAACTAACAAAAGTACTGGAACGGCAGAATAACTCGGCGGGAGAGCATTTTAGAGAAAAATGTTAAATAAAAAAGATTCTGGATTTCTCCCTGGCTATCCGATGGTGACATTGACCTTGACCATTTGAAAAATCACATTTGACCTTGAAATGATCTTCAAGGTCAAGGTTAAGGTCAATATTGTGGCAGTTATATCTTTCAGACATCCGACGAAGTCTTATGTTACAAATTGTATGGTTACGATGCTTATTTACAGTTTAAGGGAGGAAACGAATATGATTTTCAGGCGTTTTTAATGATTTTTTTTAATTGATTAAAATTTGATTAACTTTGACATTATTTTATTAATATTTTGAACTACATTTACAAATTTTTTTAAGTAATTTGTGTTGGAAATGCCAATGTTATGGGCTGTTGTCCACCGAAGGGCATCGTCCGAGTTGGCTATTTACGGGACATGTGGAGCTCACAATTTTGATTTGAAAGCAAAATGGTTGTTTTCCTGTATTATTAATGTTTTCTAAGAATATAAACCTCATTGTTGGTAAAAATTGTTAAAATTGTGGTGTTGATGTGCTTTTTTTATTTATTTTGAATAAAAAACGCCCTTAAAATTATGACATCATCCCCAATTGTTGATTCGTGTTCTTCATAATTTCATAAAGGAACACACTTTCAAAGTTCATAACGATCGGTTCATAATTTTTTGAATTAGGGTTCCCATGAATTAAAAATATTTCGCTTTAAGAAAAACACGTTTGAAGAAAAATTTTCCGAAAACTAGAAATTTGAGTTATCAATAATATAGAGTACTTACCAATCAATCAGCGATTCCAGCACCATACAACAGTTCTTCTTCTTCCTCATAAGCATCATTCTGAATTTTTATCTGTTCTTTTCTTGCTCAATAAGTGACTGCCTGAACAAGCGCTCCGTCCTACCTGTTGTGCGCCCAAGTGCTGATCCGATGGCCATTCGGTTTTAGGCTTATAAAATCAGAACAAGTAGGAATATCAATTTGAAATTTTACTTAAAGTTATGTATTTAATGAGGCAACAATGTAATTTTTTTGATTCATAACATCTTTCCAAGGACATACCTTCGATAAGTCAAAAATAGGAAACTCATTTTTATAATTATTGCATTCTAGGGAGACACATCTGTAGGAAAAACCAGTTTGATCACCTACTTAGCCAAATCAAGTGGCAACAAATGTGTTCGAATAAATAACCACGAACACACTGACCTCCAGGAGTACATCGGTTCTTATGTTGCCGATAACACCGGCAGATTAATATTCAAAGAAGGCCTGCTCGTTGAAGCTATGAGGAAAGGGCACTGGATAATTCTTGATGAGCTTAACTTGGCTCCAACAGATGTCTTGGAAGCCTTGAATAGAGTATTAGATGATAATCGTGAACTTTTCATTCCGGAAACTCAGGAAACTGTAAAGGCAGATTCTAATTTTATGTTATTCGCCACACAGAATCCACCTGGTGTGTACGGCGGTAGAAAAATGTTATCGAGAGCTTTTAGGAATAGATTTGTGGAGTTGCATTTTAATGAAATACCTGCTTCTGAACTGGAATTTATTTTACACAAGAGATGTCAGATGGCTCCCAGTTATGCTAAGAAAATGATAAATGTGATGACAGATCTACAGGTATGTTAAAAGTTTGAAGTTATGAAACCATACTCATAGAATGTTTAATTCTTTATATTTATATAAATTTTTTTCTTTTGTTTGGTCTGACTGACAAGAAAAATAATGATATTTTTATTTTAATTGAAACTACTTATGAAAATTTTTGTATGTACATATATCTAATTTCTTTTTTCATATTGTGTATTGTCTAATCTATTTCTAGACAAGGCGTAGGGGATCTGCTGCCTTTGCAGGCAAACAAGGTTTCATCACGCTTAGGGACTTGTTCAGGTGGGGTGAAAGATACAGACTTGCACAAAATGTAAATAAATTGTATGATTGGGACCAGCATTTGGCCGATGAAGGATACCTGGTGCTCGCCGGCCGTGTCAGGAAATCTGAGGAAAAATTGGAAATTATGCATGTCTTACAAAAACATTTAAAACGTGAGGTCAAACCAGAACATCTTTTCACATGTAAGTTCAATAAAAAAATAAATTTGAAGCATCCTTTAAATAGACATATTCTGTAAACATTTCATTAGAAATTCAAGAAATATTTCAGTTTGCTATTAATTATCAATTTTATATTTCATCAAATATTATTTCTCTCAAGGGGACATATACAATTAGATGTAGAAAAATGAGTCAATTTTGAGGATTTTTTTTTTCTTAGGAATTTTTCTTTCACCCTTCTTTCTTTTGGTTTTTTTTTACTGGGTTTTTCAGTTCCTTTTAAAAAAATTTTTTTTGCTTTCTTTCTTCTTCAAATTGGGGGGGTTTTGTTGGGTTCCCGGCAAGTTTTTGGGGGGCTTTCCAAACCGTTTTCCCCCTTGGTTCCCTTTAAACTTGGGGTTGCACTATATTCCAAAATTTTTCTTTTTTAAACGTTGTTTTTTTTTCATGTTGTTGAGAATGGTGGGAATGCTGCTTTTTTGAAACGGCGTTCTTTTTTTGACGACAATCGTCTTTTTTTTTTACGTTTTTTCAGAATTTATATAAAAAAATATTTTTTATAGAAGGTAATTATGTTATCAACATTCTACTAAGGGGGAACTCGATTAGTTCAATAGTTTTTGCGTAATTGTGTACACCAGTTTCAGAAATGTAATTTCGAGAAAAACAGTAAGTCCCCCTTCCTATTCTATCCTTTGTAGACGTAGTCATTTGACAAAAATTCATAGTTGTGGACAAAGGGTAAAAGGGCAACTATAAGCTGTAAACAAATTTGGGCGTCTATTTCCCAAAACTCTTCTGAAAACAGTTAATTCTTCTACAAACATCTGGTCGACGAGTGTACCTGCCCCTGTGTGCTCTTGCTTCTACCCGCGGCGTGCGCTCCGAATCTGAGCAGACATGTAACTTCCGGATTTTTCGAATTTCATTTCCAAACTTTCAGAATTCTTCACATATAGTTCTATCATTTAAGAATATAAAAAAGAAAATGATTTTCTGATCGTCGTAATTGTATATATCCCCTTAATTAATAATTTTATGCAATCCCAACCAAGTGTATGAAATTTCAAGTTTTTATTAGTCGAGAATGATTTTGTTTGTTTTTTTTTTTACAATTAGCAATAACTTTGTTTCATTTCATATAGGTGGTGTACTAGAAATAAGTTTCAAAATTTTATTCACATATTTATCAGAATCAACGTTAATAAATTTTTCATAAACATCCCATTTTAAACCCATTAAAATAATGTTAATATTTTGTATGGGAACCCCAAAAAAATCTCGCGATATGCATTTTCCGGAAAAACTAAATATAGGGAATCCGCCATCTTGAATTTTGCAAATTTGACCTCGGATTCGTGATCAGCGACTCAAAAAACCCCCGTATACAATGTTTGGTACAAATCGGTTGATTTTCGAAAAATTCGTCCGCCATATTGGATCGGCCATCTTGATTTTTTGGGACACTCTGTATATAGTGAGTTGCTTGATTGCCTTCACTTTATAGCATAAAAATATCTACATTACTATCCCTTTAACCGTCATATTTTCTTGTTTTAATTACAACACCCTGTATTGCATTGTGTGAATTTTTTTATGTAAAAATTTTTTAGGTAAGCATAATTTATACATAAATTTGTATGTTTTGGGGTTATTTGATGTTTTCTGTAATACATTTTAAACTAAGAGTAATAGAAAGTTGTAATTTTCACTCCTGTTTCATTCACAAACACAAAATCAGCATTCCTAATACTTAGAAAAGGCCGAAATATAATTAATATAAACTTTGTATTATTTTTTCTTTCCTTTCTCAGTCGAATTAAGAAGTGAATAAAAAAAATTGTGTTTCAACGATGTTTGAATTTGTTTTTGCCTTTCAGTATCTGAGAAAACGTCATCAGTGACAAAACACAACTTACAAAAAATAGCAGAAAACAGTGAGAAGTACAAAAATATTGTATGGACCTACCATATGAGGCAGCTAGCAGTTTTGGTGGCGAAAGCTTTGGAATTTAAAGAGCCGGTACTATTAGTAGGTGAAACGGGGGGTGGAAAAACGACAGTTTGTAAACTGATTGCTGACAATAATGGACAAGAACTTATTACTGTGAATTGTCATATGCACACTGAAAGTGGTGACTTTATTGGAGGTCTAAGACCAGTACGGGATCATTCTGTAAGTTAATATAGTGTAATATTTTACTTAGAATAACATAAACTCAGTTCTCAAGGAAAAATGTTTGCAATTGCGATGTTATGGTAGCATTTTGGAGACACTTCCCGTATATGTCGTATCAATTAATTTGTCTTTACTGCAAATGTAGGACATTTTAAACACCAAAATTATATAGTGTATTGTTTAAAACTGAAATTAATAGCGTAACTAATTCTTAAAGTTTTTATTGGACGTTCAGAAATAATATAAGAATTGAATATTGGGATAATTTTTTTCACAGGGTTGTATTCAAATTATTTTAAACGGGTTTTCTGTTATTTATGTTCCATGAAATATTTATTTATTTTCTTGAGTACATAATAACTTGAAAAACACGCTGTATACTTTGTTTAGGGGGATGATTTCAACAAATTATTTGAATGGGTCGACGGACCTCTTCTCCAAGCGATGATAAATGGACACGTATTTCTTGCTGATGAAATATCCCTTGCAGATGACAGTGTATTGGAGAGATTGAATTCATTATTAGGTAAAAATTCCCATTGATAAATTGTCTTTATATTATAATATTCTTTTATGGTTTCAGAACCTGAGAGATCCCTTTTACTTGCCGAAAAAGGCATAGATATGAACAACAGTAGCAACTCGGAACTGATCGTAGCCAATTCAAACTTTTATTTCATCGGAACAATGAACCCCGGGGGAGATTTTGGAAAAAAGGAGCTATCTCCAGCTCTGCGTAATCGGTTCACAGAAATTTGGTGCGAGTCTTGTACTGATAGACAAGATTTAGTGGCTATTATCGAGAAAAATATAAAACCGGAACTGTCTTTAGGAAACCAACAAGACGGGTCAAGCATTGGCAATAATATTATGGATTTTGTGGAATGGTTCCAGAATACCGAGATTGGAAAAAGGTATTTTAAGAAATTATTATAATAATGAAGCATTCGAGTCTCTTATGGATTTTGTAGGTTTACCATAAGCATTCGTGACATTCTGACTTGGGTACACTTTTTGAATGTTTCTGCTGAAAAGGTTGATATAGCAGAAGCTTACATTCATGGTGCGTCTTTAACATTTCTAGATAGTTTAGGATCTGGCGCAACAAGTACTGAAAGGTAAGCAGATTATATTTGCAATCGTCTAAATTGTTTTCTATTAATTATAATATGGTTATTTCTAATTTTTTTAAATATTGTTTTTTAATTTATATAAAATATTCACCACATATTTCATAATTTTTTACCTGTTTTGTACAAAAAGAAGATATAAAATATACAGGGTTTGTCCGGAAAGTAATGTCAGTAGTCGGTTAAAAATAATTTATTGAACTTTTCGTTACAAGTGATCAAAATTCTTCAAAATAGGCTCCTCCTTCGTTGATACATCGGCTCCAGCTAGTTTTCCAGCTATCGAATGCATGACGGTAGCATTCTCCGGAATACAATTTAAAGTCGTGGTGCAAGCTGCTTGGATCCCCTCTATTGTCTCGAAATGCTTTCATTGGTGTTTTCAGGCATGGAAACAAAAAGAAGTTGGGGGAGCCATGCCAGGGCTGTACATAAGCTGGGAAATCGTTGGCCCCCTGCTTTCGCCAGGTAGTTGGTCATGAGGAGTGATGAGGAAGGAGCTGTGGGCAGACAAATTGTCATGATGCAACTGCTTTTCAGTCTTTTCAGCACTTCCACGTCAAATTTAGAGTTCACAGTTGTACCACGTGGTACAAACTCATGATGGACTAGTCCTCAGATGTCAAAAAACACGATGAGCATCGTCTTGATTTCGGATTTGCTCACACTGGCCTTGGGGCGAGGGGACGCCATGTGTGCCACACCGATGATTGTTTTTTCGTTTTCGGGTCATACTCGAATATCCAAGATTCCTGTAATGGCGTTCAAAAACTTGAATCATTTTCGCTCATGTCCAGATTTTCTTGACACATATCGACGCGATGTATGTTTTGGTTGTCGGTGAGCACTTTCGGGACCATCTTTGCACACACCTTCCGCATGTTCAAACAATCAAGACACGAAGAGCGCCAGATGAGGCTCTCCTGCCGGCGAGGGCCAGCCAGGGTAAGAGGAGGTCCTGCAAAGTGCCTACACTGGCCATGATTGTGTTTGGGGTATACGATGGACGGGGCCCACCTTCACGAGGCTGCCCAGACCTACAGAGATAAGGCAGGACAAAGAGGGATAGTCCTCCTTGGTCCCAAATTATTAAGGCCACGTTTAACGCCAAAAATAACGGTGCATGTTCAAATTGTTCACAACGATCTCATGAATGATAGTTTTCGGAATGTTTAATATCTGTGACATTAAAGGAACACTCAATAGTCCGTCGGTGTTTATGGGGTCACAAAACAACTTCCACAGAAACACCTGTCTTCATTCTCCAGATGGTCGGAGAAGACTGAGTGACTCAGCATCTTTTAGTTGACTTCTTCCCACTCCCATTCTCAACCAATCTGGGCACACTTCAACATATAGTCCCGTCAAAAGAAAATCACTGAAAACCTTGCATGATGTAGTTTGTGAAAGTTTGCATAACACAACTATTTTTTTATACTGTAAAGATAAACATAATCAATTCTATGATTCTGATAAACATACACAATTGTAGCTTATGATGAGCCCCTACTATTGGCTGTTGTTGGCATTGCCAAGCACGATAATTCGCAAAAATTATAATTTTTTTAAACAGTTTATAGGTCCTTAGGAAGAACAATTTACGATTTTGAATATTATGGATGTAATTTATAAAGGGTGTCCCAAAATTCATGCAAGAAGTCATTTAATAGAAAATACATTATTCTTCAATGGTGTATTTTTGTACCCAAAAATCACTGGTTCTGACAGTGTTACATGAAAGTGGCATTTTTTTTTAATTAATAGATTCTTAATTTAAATTTTATTCTGGGTATAAAAATTTTAAAAGAAATCTTCCTGGTTGTAAAATAGTTTGAAAAAATAAATTCCATCACCCTGTATTTCATGAGAAAAAATTTTCTTGAAATAGAAATGAAAGTGAGAAATGACAAAATTCAGTATTTTAAATAAAAATTTTTTTTCTAGTTTGAAATTGTTAGAAGTGTTTAGAAACGATTGCCAGCAGTTTTTAATAAACCAAATCAAGCAATTGACACACACTGTACCACATTTTGCCTTGACAAGCCTTTCTGTGGAAAAGCACGATGGTAAATTTGGAATTCCACCATTTTTTATTGAACTAGGATCTGAGAATCACGAAGAAACCGATTTCTCCTTTAACGCTCCAACAACTATTTATAACACGTTGCGACTATTGAGAGGAATGCAATTAAATAAGGCGATCTTACTTGAAGGTAGTCCTGGAGTCGGAAAAACTAGTCTGGTTGTTGCTTTGGCCAAATGTTCCGGTCATAAAATATTTAGAGTAAACTTATCAGACCAAACAGTGAGTTTTACTGAGCTTTAACTTTTAAGGTATTATTTAACTGTTATTGTAGGATATTTCGGACCTTTTTGGTGCAGATCTGCCAGTGGAAGGCGGAAGTGGAGGACAGTTCTCTTGGAGGGACGGTCCTCTCCTTCAGGCTTTAAAAGATGGCAGTTGGATTTTACTGGATGAACTAAATTTGGCTTCTCAGTCGGTTCTTGAAGGTCTTAATGCTTGTCTGGATCATAGGGGGGAAATATTCATCCCAGAGCTGGGAAAGACGTTTTATGTGAGGCCAGGTAATATTTTATAATTTGTGATTTTTTCTGCAGGGTATAAAAAAAATGTTTATAGGTACAAAGTTTTTTGCTTGTCAAAATCCCTTGAAGCAAGGAGGATCCCGTCGTGGCCTGCCAAAATCATTCCTTAACAGATTTATCCAGGTCTACATCAACAGTCTAACGGATCAAGATTTGAACTATATTCTATCTCACCAATATGACGGTTTACCGACGAAAATAATCCAAAACATGATCGATTTTAATTCTAAAATCGTACACGAACTCGATACCCATTCCTTCGGTAATAAAGGGGCCCCGTGGGAGTGCAATTTGCGTGACTTGACCAGGTGGTGCGAGGCTATGACGTACCATTATAACGCCAATCCGAGTCTGCAAAAAAAGTACGAGCCCGAAAGTGTCGTTCAATTTATTTATGGCGATCGTATGCGGACTTTGTCTGATAAAGAGAAAGTGAGGGATATTTTTGAGGATGTTTTTCAAAGTAAAGTGCGTGGAACTGGACCGATAATGTACGTGAATAAAGAGAACGTTTATTTTGGTGACGTGACTTTAGAGAGACAGTCTAGTGGTGTTAACGTACATGTCTTAAAGCAAGACAGGACTTGTTTAGTGCTGCGTTCTCAGTTGCAGACTTTGAGAAGTTTAGTGTATTGCGTGAACTTGAATTGGATGGCGATTTTGGTGAGTGTTTTTAAATTTTCTTAAGCATAACATGTTTTTTTCATTTGCTTTACGAATGCAGAAAATGACAGTGGTTTTAAGGCTTAAAGAACCATGGTTTTACGAGTTGTTATGCCCTGGGTTATGTATTTAGTTGCCACCAGATACAGACTTACAATGCATTTTCTTAGTCTTAGTTAGGAATTTTGAACCTGCCCTTATTACTCTCGGACTAGGTCCTGTGGGGGGGCGGATCTGCTAACAGAGCACCTAGGCCTACCTTGATGCTTTAGGTCTTGTTGGTTCTAAGATTGCTGTGGATGGAACCCCTTGTCGGACATTGAGGGTCTTCTGAGATGTTCCGCTGTGACTTATGTAACTGGTTGCGTATAATGTTTCCAAGCATTTCACCATCTTTTACTGTTGGCATCTTCAGTGTTGAAGTTTTTGTGCAGTGATTAGTTAAAGAGATCTGCCACCACAGATCCTAGTCTGAAATCAAGGGTATGTCACAGATTCCTAGCTAAGACCAAGGAAGTAAAATATAAATCTGTGACTGGTGACGACCAGGTACATATGCCAGGATATAAAACATGAAAAACCATGGTACTGTAATAGAGAAAATGTTATCCAAAAAGAAAACTAACTTTTAGTTGTTCTGTTTTAAATGCAATTTTATCTCTAATATTTTACAGTAATAAATAGGTATTTTTTTAACTGTTCTACTTGCAATTAGTTATATATTTTTTTAATTAGCTGCTGTACTTACCTTCTTTGAAAGGTTTTGTAAAAGCAATTAATTGTTAAAATGTGAAAAAGTTAATATATCGGAGCTCACATATATGAGGGGTTAGATGCAAAACTCACATTATCCACTTTTTAAAATTTTTCAGGAATAACTGATTTCTCACTTTTTAAGTGACTTAAGGCTCTGAATTTTTTTTTGGTATTGTATTAGAACTTTAACTTCTTAGCTTCTTAATTGGTGAAATGACATCACAACAATATTTGACTCCAAGAAAGTGAATTAAAGTTTGGATAATGTGAGTTTTGATACATCTTTTTGGATAATGGTAGTTTTGCTCCAAATTATTCTACATAATATTATTTTTTACACCAAAATTCATGAAGTTACCGGAACTTTGAAACAAACTCATTATCAATAAAACTTTTATGTATTATGGTAGTTCATAATCAAAATAAAAAGCTGTACAAAATACTTAGAATACGGTTTTATTATCAGTGATGAAGTGAAATATTTTTATAATGATCTTTATAATCTAAAACTACAAAAGTACAAAAAATGTTGACAGTAAAAAGTTCTAATATCCGATATTTAAGTATGAAACTTCAGAACTAAACTTATCTTACTTATAATCAGAAACTCATAGAAAAACACGGAAGCAACCATCTAAACAATACGAGAAGCAAAACTCACATTCTCCTTAGGCAGTCGGCCATTTTGGTTTATCGCTTTAAGTTTTTTCATTGGTGGATATATGGATAATGTGAGTTTTGACAACTTCAGATCGTAGGAGAATGTGATTTTTAAAACAATTCACAGATTTCACAATTTAAAAATAAATACGAAAATGTGAGTTTGTACCACTTCTAAATTTTAAAATGGTGTAGTTCAACACGATGAACAAGATAGCGCCACTAACTCTATTTCGAAAAATTATGGATAATATGAGTTTTGCGTCTATACCCCTCATATGTTAATCNCAACCGTTTTCAAGAAAAATGACTTTTTATGAACAAAAGCAAACATTTTGCTAACGTTTCGAAAATCTTTTGTAATTCAAAAAATAGGTAGTAATAATTAACAATTTTAACGAAATTTAACAACAGATAGGATTTTAACTTTTTTTATCAATTTGGCGAGTAAAATTTACAGAAACTGTTCAAAATTACGTCCGTTGGCTTGAATGCACGCATTACATCTTCTAATCATGTTTCTTTCTGTCGCTGCGGCTTCACCTCTATCGGTCAACTTTTCGATAATATTGACATGGAACGTTAGCAAAATGTTTGCTTTTGTTCATAAAAAGTCATTTTTCTTGAAAACGGTTGACTAGAGCAATGAACCAAGAGAACCAGAAGAGAAGTTTTGACACCCTGTATCTCGAAAACAGATAGGAGAGAAAAATGGAAGAGGAAAATCATGTTTCTTTTTTCAAGAGGAATTTACAGTTTTCCGTTGCGACACTTATTTAGGAACACCCTGTACATATAAGAATTTAATATAATTTTTGAAATTGGTTTGAATTAATGCAAAATACAAGTAATAATTTTTATTTTACTGTTTATTCATGGAAAGAAATAAAAAAAAATTCTACAGGGTTTCTGCAAACGAGTGCGCCATGCTAGATGAAAATAAAGCCATATAAGATCAAGTTACTTTAGTATAATTCTGCTTCTTTAAAAACTTACAGGACCTTTAAAAGATATTTTTTATATTCCAATTATTAAGATAACCTTCTTACCTAAAATATGTATAGAGGTTGCTAAGAATACCTGAAAAGGTCTACTGTTTCTTCTGTATTTTTTGTTAGTAGTAATTTTGTGAAAACAAGAGTGTTTTATATAACACTGTACTTGTTTTTATTTCCGTAAGAAAGTATTCTTGTTACATGTGACTGTGAATCCTTAGAGCTTCAATTCTGGGGAATTGGGTTATTGCGGATTTTTCTAATATACTGTATTCAGGCAATACAATGTGTGCTAGCCAGACATTTGGTCCTGGTTAATGATTCACCAGATTCTTATTGTATATTTTCAAATTTCGAGAGCTCTTAGAACAGGGAATTTCTGCTTTTCCCTGGACGATCTTGATCTGTCATCAGAAGTAGTTCGGCTTTTGTTTTCGGCCACCTCACGCCAGTGGTTAGTGTATTTTGTGGTTTTGTAAATTAAAACCCATTTTTCTTAGAATCTATGCATTTTAGGGATATGCAACAAACGACATTTCAAAAAACACCAATACATTTTTTCAAAAACTCTAGCAGCGAGAAAAATACGAAAAAAATATGACAAAAACTAATTTATTATTTGAGGTATGTTCATCTTCAGCTACTCCAAAAACCCCCCCATACCAAATATCATTAAAACATTTTGAGAAATGATGGATCTTAAAAAATGAATGGAATATAAAAAATTTCTTTGAAGAGTCGTGACTTTTTAAGCTTTTGGTTCATAATCAAAATTTAATTATTTCGCAGAGGAAATACATTTTTGCGAAAATTAGTCCCCCTCCCTTCACCTTGTGGGTGGGGCGCGGGATAACTTTGAAATCTTAAAATATTTTAAACACAAGTTGTAGACCTTTTTATAACAAAAATTTTGAACTCAGCCCGATGTTAATAAGTTATTGCAAAAAAGAAAAACGGCTAAAAATCGCATTTTTTTAAAACTTCTATATCTTTAAAACGAAAAAAGATTTTTTCCGAAACTTTCAGAATATCTATAGTCTGTTTAGAAATGAAAGAGAGTAATAAAAGCTCATTATGTATGCAAATCGTAAATAAATGTAGTACTGGTGCTTATATTCAATATTTTTATATTATGTATTTTCGGTATAGATGAGGTGTACTTTTAAAAAAACTTTGTGCGATCGGACTGTACTAAATTGTAGCAGGTAGCTAAAATTTAATCCCCGACAATCCGTCTTTGTCTATGCCGCTTCAATTTCTCGGTCCATTTCTCTTATAAGTAAACAATATAAAAACAGCATTTCAAAACATGAGGCTACTTTAAGCATCATAACCGGGTTAAGAGGGTTTTTAGTAATTCAAATAAAATTATTCAATATTATTATCAAAATATTTATTTAAATTTAATGAATAGACTTTTATTCCACACAAAAATATATGTATTTTGAAAATTCAAATTATGGTGAGTAAATGTAGTGTTGTATAAATGTACAATAAAGAAAATAAAAAAGTAGGTATATTAAAATTCATCCTCTGAATATTCTGATGAATTATCTTCGTCTCCTAGATTGATAACGATAGGTTCCACAGTAACGTCAATTAAATTATCGAGTTCCCACATTTTCTCCTCTTCTTTTTGTACATGATGTATACATCTTTGCCAGTTATCTGCAGTTACTCGTTCCAAGGAATTTTTTAACAAAATTTTCACGTCACTTAATTTAAACGTCGTATTATTTCGCGCTACATCTCCTTTTACCTGCGCCCAGACTAATTCGATTGGGTTAAGTTCACAGTGATAAGGTGGTAACCGTAGTACCGTTATTTGGCGATTTGTTGCCATTTCATCGATAACATATTTTTTCTGATCTTTATTAAGATTGACAAGTGTCAAAAGTTCCTTTTTCACCATATTTGTTTCAAAAGAAATGTTTTTTCCGGATAACCATTGAATTATATCGGCTTTCCTCCAAGCAGTCGTAGGCGTCCGCTCGGTCTGCCGTGAATGGTAACTGGCATTATCCATGACAATTACAGACCCCGGAGGAATAAGATCCAACATCTGTGTAAAATACTCTTCGAAAACATCTGCGTTCATGTCTTCGTGATAGTCACCTGTATTTTTAGATTCAAATAAAAGTAAACCGCCATCTACAAAACCACTGGCACTACCTATATGTGTCACTATTAATCTTCGCCCTTTACCTGAAGGTGCCTTGAACCCTGTTGAAAGTCCATCCAAAAATGCTTGTCGAAAACTTTTTACATTTTTATCTTGCCATACTTTTGTTACAGTATATCCCTCGTTGACCCAAGTTTCGTCTAGATAATAAATATTCCTCCCTTCGTCACGGAATTTTCTAATTGATCTTAAGTAGGATCTTCGCCAACAAATAATTTCATCTTTATCGATAAGAACTGACTTCCTGTTCTGCTTTTCCCAGCAAAAATTCAACTCTCGTAAGACGGCCCATAATTTGCTTCTACTGATTTTTGGCAAATCGTTGTCCTCTGAAAGTTCACTTAAAATTTTGTTTAGCGTTGGTATTTCTTTTTTAAAATAAAATGAGTGTACTTTTCTGCGAATGACATTTTTGAAGAAATCATCTATAACGACTTTTGACCTCCCTGTAGATGATTTTGGGGGATTTACAGTATCTTGTTCATTTTTTGTTTCCTTTAAAAGTCTGTAGATAGTCGATTTTCCAATCCCTGTCATTTTGGAACACTTTTCCACGATGTCGTCAACACTGTTGGTAGGATTTTGGTGTTTCAATGCATTAAATACATTTAATATAATAATCTTCTCATTCTGAGACAGCGCACATCTTTTCACGCGTTTAGCAGGTACGTAATCTGATAAGCTCGACATTTTACCCAAACAATATTATATCCACTGGCACAATAGTCACTAAACACAAGTCGAATTTTACTCTACTGCACTAGCACGTCTTCGTATATTCAGCTCTAAGACTGGATTGATCTGTCACAATACACTGGCTCCTGCCCTATGATGTATCCAGTAAAATATACTAATGTACACCCATTACCTGTTAGCATTAGTGTTACCCGATAATTACCTGAAACGAAATATTACCACGCCCATGGCCGGTTCTTATCTCGGGGTTTTATTACTCTCTTTCATTTCCAAACAGACTATAGCAAGCATTTTACGGGGTTTAAGGTTACTATAAAAAAGGGAGTCAATTATTGCGGACTATTTTTTATATTGAAGTAAACGTATTCAACTCCAACTTGTGTAAATTTCAGATCTTAATACATACATATCAATAAATGGGGTAGCGATTTTCTGAAAAAAAAAATTCTCGGCTTCTGTTGGTCGTACGATTTTTCAAATGACAATAATGCCATTCCGATTAAATTTCAACGATAAGAAAAAGATCTCCATTTTTCGACCCAAAACAAGAAGTCAATGTTTCGGTAGATTTTTCGCATATTTCTAATTATTTTGCAATACGCCCACAATTTGCACAGCAAAGTACAACTCTTAGAGAAAATTTAAAGCCCGAGATGGGTCACTTAAGTGCATTACTGTATGATTTACTGAAACTTGAAAAAAATATAAAATATTTAGCAATTTTACAAAAATGCAATTATTCCACTTGCTAAGGACTACATATTCTGAAAATTTCATAAAAAAATCTTTCTTCGTTTTAAATTAAAGATAATAGAAATTTTTAAAAAATCCGATTTTTAACCGTTTTTTGCAATAACTACTACATTTGTTTATCAATTGACATTGGGCTAGGCTCAAAATTTTTGTTATAAAAAGTTCTACAACTTCTGTCTAAAACATTCTTTTCTAAAATGTTTAATTGTTTTAAATGAAAAAAAAACTGATTTTCGCGAACTTTGGACACCATTTTGAAAATGAAGCTCTAACATTTAGCTGGGGTAAAGTAGTTCACCCAATTCTACGGAATTTTTCCTAATTTTTATGTGTCTTTGTTTACAGAACTAAATTTTCGTAAAAAACAAGGTATTTTCGACAATTTAACTGGCATACTTAAAATTCGGGAATACGTTTACAATAAAAAATACCACAATTTCACTGTAATTAATCAAAATTAGTTTTAAACCAAATTTTACTTCTCAAATTTTCTATTAAGTACTGAAAAATGACTTGTCAAGAAACTACTATTCGAGCTACTATTATGGTAATCTAGGAACAGACGTCCTCTTTGAGATACTTGGTCAACGTGTTTTCCTTCGCTTAACACTTATCGGAGTGTTTGATTAAATCTGCTTTCAAATGAATGTATTTTTTTTGTTAAAAATAATTTTTTTAAAAATGTTTCATTATTTTTACATTTAGCGTTTGTGTTATTTCTTTCTTCGTGTTTTTGTGAGTGTAAAAACAAAATAAACGTAGAAGGAAAGAAATAATTTTAAGAAACAAGTCACTTTATTCAGAACACCGAAGGGAACAGCAAATTCGAGAGCAAATTACTATATCCACATTGCAAAATGAAAACATTTTTTTGTCGACAAATTTCGAATATTTACATAATACGTGGTATTTTTTATTGCAAACGCATTGCTGAGTCGTATAGGTACTTATGTTCTCGGTAGGAGAAATGGAGAAAAATAGAATTTCGTAGATTACAACGCCATCATTTATGAACTGAAAAATGTTTCAGACAAATCCTATGTACTTTTAGCCGTAGAATTCGAATCTGCAATAAAAAATGGGTGTTCTTTTAAGATATCAAAGTTACCCCCCTCCCTATCTATAAGGGGGTGAAGGGAGCTCTCTCCCTCTAATTTATTTAGCACTAGTTAGCATTTAGTTTTAGACTTTAGTACTTAGACAAATTTTAGCACTAGTGTATTATTGCCCCCGCGGAATGATCCGGTGGTTTTTTTTCGAGATATTTGAGAGTTTCAAAAAACACCCGTTATATATACATACATATTTTTTTTCCTGTTAGTGATTGGGTGTAATCTCGAGTTAATCTGAAGGGCTTAGTTCGTTTTTTACGAGGTTTTTTATCAGTCCTTATAAACCACACAATCCTAAGACTTAGGGAAATCCTCTTCGCAGTAGCAACGTCCGTAATTCTTTTGACAGGATAGTTTATCAGTTTGATCCGACAAGTGAGATAGACCGGGTGTATGTATCATCAATTATGTCAACATTCATTAAAAAAAAAATCAATTGATGGGAACACATTTAAATATTTCAGCTCGTATGTCAAGGAAGAAGGGTCATCAAATATGATTGGCTCATTTTCAGTTTGGAAAAAAATCGTTTATCCAGTAGTACTTGCTGTCTTGAAATATATTAACAATAAAAATAAGCAAATCGCATTTTCATGTGCATAAAGTTAGCGTCATTTAAAGAAAGTTAAAAAAAATTGTACTAAATTGTGCTCAGTTTACATTGTGTCGAAATAGTTAAAAAATAATAATTCTTATTTTGATTAAAAAAAAGAAAAATGGTGTTGCTAGTAGGGAAAATTTACGTTTTTTCCACATTTTCCGGAAAATTGCGACTAAGTAATAACAAATTTTTATCAAGACATTGCACAATGTGACGTATTGGAAAAAACTACATCATTTCCAGAAAATCGACGACAACTATTTGTGTTTTTATCAAAACCACAACTACACTATCAACTCTACACAATATTTTCCACTCTTCAACATGTTGAAAGATAATTCGTTGATTGTCTAACTCTAACCCTATGGCATACTAATAAGTTCGAAATTGGTATAAGTCTGGTGGTTCTGCTGAAGAACGGTCTTAACTGTTTATTAGATATTGCGGGTGTAATTCAATGCTGGCTGGGTATTAGTATGCAGAGTAGTTATTTGATATTTTCTGAAGTTCAAATTATTGCTGAATTAAAACTGATTATTTTGAAATACAATTGACTTGTGCATTATATGCGACTAATTTGTAATTTGAAATTAAAATTACATTATACGAAATAAAACTGAGTACATATTGACATTTTCTGTAATACACATAGAAAACATGTAGTGACTGTAGCGTTTAATGAAGTGATGTAGGGAAAACATGTCGATAAATAAATAATAAACTTTTATTTCAGGTGGGTAGTTCTGGTTGCGGTAAGAGTAGTGTAGTGAAAACTTTGGCTAATCTGGCCGGGAAAACTTTGAAAACTTTGCCGGTTACATCTGCGATGGATACGACGGATATCCTAGGGGGATTTGAACAGGTAAGAAGGCTTTATTTTAACCGAAAAGCATGATATGAAAATATTTAAATACCTATTATACACGTTTATTATAAATAGTTTATATATTAAATATTAAAAATAGAAGAATTTTGGAGTAGTTCGACGATTCCTATTACAAATAGTGACAATATTATCATTTTTGTTTCAATATTATTAGTAGCGACAGAAAACTTTTAATACTAATAATAATTTTTGCAAGATTTGTAAGTTTTTTTTTGTTAAAAATTAACATTGCTTACAGTTTAGCGTAGCATTATAATTTGTTTTAATAGTTGCTCTTTCACAAATTTTTAAATTTGTGTCAGTCAAAAATTGCGTAAATCATTACGTGAGTAATCTTGAAGATGGACAATCTTAAAAGATTTGTACTTGGACAACGGGACTTATCGGGTGACCCAATTCATAGTGACCACAAGCTATTACAATTTTTGGAATATAAATGGGATATCCTATATAATTTTTGTTTATCTTTATTCAAAATTACATTTTAAACACTTCGATGCTGTTTTAGTTAAAATTTGTTTTCTTAATTAGCGTGTACCTATTTAATAGAGTATTCTGTGATTTTTGTGCGAGTAAAAAAAATCACATATTCGGTGTTTACCGATTCTTAACCCTCAAAGGTCACATTAGTGCGAATTCGCACCACCGCTGGTATTTCTCAGGTAGCAGCGGCCGAGGGATCCTCCCACCACAATAATTCCTTCTATAGCCCAAATTGTCGAGCCGTACCACAGCTGGCGCTGGCCTCAGTCTGTTATTGTCGGTCAAACTAGAAAGTCTGAAAAATCCGATCGGTGCGAATTCGCACTAGTGTGTTTTTAGTGTGGGCAAAAGTGTGGCTGAATTTATATCATATAATCTAGAAATAAAGTGAATGCAAATTTTCAATTTTTTTCACCTCATTTTACGAATATACTGCAACATTTAGTTATTGTTAATCATTTTTCAAACATTAATTTTTCATTAATAGTTTAACTGTGACATGTTTTTGTCAATATTTATGGATAATATTGTTAAAACTAATATGTTTATACAAAAGAATGCAAAATAACCACAAATTATAGAAAAGCTCCCAAAAATCACAATTTAAAAAAATGCCTATATTCAATATACCGCATCAAAATTGATATTATCTTTTTATCAAAATGGGGTATTTTTTTCTTAAAAATATAGACGATTCTTAAATGAAACTTGCTCCAGGCACTCTAGATTAATAAAAAAATGAAATAATGACTGATGAAAACAAATTTTAACTAAAATATCATAAGTACTTAATTTAAATGAATCGAAATAATAAAAAATATGAGGTGTCCTATTTCAACTTCTAAAATTGTGGTCCACTTCTGGTTAAGTCGGAAGTGATAAAAACATTGATTTATTGGGTCATTTTACTCAAGCCGAATACGATCTCGCTAAAGGCACCTTCCCACAATGCGAGGCTCGGCGAGTATATTCGCTCATATGTAAATCAAGTGTCAGAGTTCAGCTTTAACTCTATTACAACTAGCGTGAACTTTAAAAATGATTTTATTGTTTTATTTCCATGAAAAAAGTTCATAGCGGCAAAATCTTTACTTCTCGCAAATTAGCAATGCAGTTGATTTTTACCCGGATTGTATACTTTCACATCTGTTTGACATTATTAACCAATATTTAATTACTATCATATAATAATCATAAGACAATACAGGATGTCCACGAAATGGTGGGCAATTCATTGGATCTGCAGAGACCTTACAAATATAACGTTACTAGTTTATATAATTTCTTTGGGTTAGTTATTAGTTGAAATTGAGTATTGAAAACCAATTTTTCGTTGTAGTTTTTTTGTTTCACATTAAATTTGGATATTTTTTGAGTTTGAAGCTATTTGTACTAGTGTATTAAATAGATTCTGTGATGACCCTGGAGTAAAGCTCCTTACGCAGTCTTGGCACCCCCCTCCAAAAAATTAGTTGACCTACTTTTTTAATGTTTGTCTTCGTTTTTTCTACGTACTTTCTTAAACAAAAAAGTGTACTTGTATGATATAAGATCGATGCAACGAAACGTTTTCGGGACAAACACGTTTAACAATGAAGATATGTTTTATTTCCGACATATCTTAATAATAATCTGATCTAATAAAAACAACAATTGGTTTTTATTTAATAAAATAAATACATCAAGCTTGCTGCATAAAGGACTAATTTTTGTTCTCATGTATTACTATTAAAATGTCGAAAATAGTATATTTTTATCGCTAAAAGCGTTTCGTTGTATTGATATCAAATCAAACAAATACAATTTTTTCAATTAAAATTATAAGAAAGTGTCACATTTACACTTTTTTCATTAAAAAATTTCATTTCAAAAGTACGCAAAGTACGTACAGAAAATTTAAAAAGCAGGCCTGTAAATGTTTTTGGGGTCTGTCAAAGATTCTTTTCTCTCGGGCATCCAAAGTAGCAACCCCAAAATTATACAAATTTTATGGGAAAGAAAAAACAAGCTTTCAACTTCAAAAGATAATAAAAAGCTAAAAAAAATATAAATTTGTGCATAATTTTTACCTAACTCCGAAAGATTGTCCACTATTATCTGAACGTCCTGTATAAATTACAATACTTACTTTATGTAAAAAGTAAAACATTATAACACATCGCAATGGAAACAAGTAAAAATTGCTCTTATGGAGGAAATCCATATCCGTAATTCAAAACCATGGAAACTAGCTTTTATATTTGATTTTCATATTCGCATATTGTACATTCTTGTGGTAAATTGTCACATTTCGTGTCAGCCAAATACCATTTTTTTTACTAAAAGTTGTTCAAAAAAACTGGTTACTTGAACTTAAAGTATATTTGTCGATGATACTAATTTCCTCTTTATTAACTAAATCTATCAATTGTCCACATTTTATAATTTGAATTCTGGCATTGCGATGGTAAGCAGATATGCGAGAGTTTATAATATTTTGAGGAGGGTTGGAGAGCAATAATCTCAACTTGGACATTAACTCGTGAATTTATTGTGACAGTTTTTACGGGGAAGGTGTAAATTATATCGTAAACTAAAGCGAAAAGTTTTTGGAGATGTAGGAATTTTCAAGTGGCTGCGCATTTGGCAGAAAATTTTTAAGTAGTCACCTAAATATGTTTTATTAGCCCTTCTAACTCCCAATCCGATTCACTTCAAGGAAATCGTTAAACAAATGAAAACCTATGTAATTTTCAACGCAGTTTTGTGCATAAATGCACTATATGTGTAGTTTTAAGTCATGCATACATTTTATTTTATTTATTTAGAAGTTGTTCTACCAAAGCAAATTTTACATTATTTTCCATGTTATATCAATCTTCTTTGTGGCAACAGCAAATGTTTCTTTTTTTGTATTGTTGAGGTGTATAGCAAATTAAGTATTTTCTTGAAAAGTTACCTACTGAAATTCGATAATGACGTTTTCGTAAATTGGTCTAATCCGACCCTCAACCGTCAAATTCTCCCCACGTTCCAATTGCTTCTTTTAAATTCAGTGCGTTTTTGTTATGCAAAACAAAACTTCGATTCAAAAACGTGCCCGGAACTTCCCTTTATAATTAAATGTGCCTAAAGTGATGCTACGTCAATGTACATTCATAATAAAGGTACCATACATTTCTCGAAAATTACAGCTTCCTTTATAATCCACATTAAACAGTCACACTTCGCTTGACCATACAGGGTGTGTTCTTATATATTGACGTTTACAGTAGGTACGTTTGCAAATGAAAAAGTAAAAAATTTTCGTCATCCAGAATATATTATCTATTTTAAACACCATGTATATGAAAAAAACTTTAGAGTATAGTACAGTTCGTGCCTCATTTTCTTGGAATGCGGTTAGCACTTGACACCCGAGGTAGAAAGATATTGGCGGAAAATTTTAGAGCACGCCCCTGCCGTAGTAAATTGTTACAGTAGTTCCGATAACATAACTTTATTGGCTTATTAGCATTAGCAAATACTTTATCAAATGAAGTCAAACAATGTTCTTCGATAACAGCAATCTAGATATGCAAAAGATATCTTCACAAAAAGTTTCCGAACAGCTGATATTGTAGTTGTTTCCTGCAATGTCAGCAGTTATAAGTCTTCTCTGTGGAGTTAGATATCTTTTGCATATCTAGATTTCTACTATTGAAGAATATTGTTTGACCTTATTTGACAAGATTTTTTTAAAAAAAGTTTTTTGAATTCGTTCAAATTAGCGTAATACCTCCATAGAGTAGTTTTCCGCAATATTGACTTCATTTGATAAGATTTTTTAGAACAAATTTTTTTAATTTGAATTAGCTTAATATCTTTAAAGTAAAGTTTGTCTTAATAATAAGAAAACTGGAGTCGTAGTATCGTAACAAAATTCCACAAACTTTTTCAAGACACTAGCAACATACATAATACATACATTCAGAGAAGTTTCCTCTGTCTCTGTTGAATACATACGTAAAATGTCTGGCAATTACCAAGAACGAAAACTTTACAACCATCATTAAAATTTCAAAGCTTTTACTTGAAAAACACGTATAATCAAGCGCAGGCAGGTACCTACGATAATCTCAGAGGAAAGGAAGATAAAGACAACTTGCTATCATGTTCCATGACTTTATTATACTATTTACATTTATATAGTTCTGCTATAACAGGAAGAATAATGAAATATTTGCAGAGATATTTAATTATTCTTACTTACAATTTAATATATCCATTTTTTACAATATTTCGATGTTATTTACATATTTATTACCTGGTATTTACACCATGCAGTTTATAGACTCATTTATTTAGGCACATTGTTTAATTATTCGTTTATACCTGAATAGTTTTATAGGATAGGAGTCAAAACTTGTGTGACTTCAAATCACTAGGCTTCCTAATCTACTTTTAGGTGCGAAAAATGTGTTTAGTAAATAAGAAAAGATTTAGAATCGTGTCAGAGTTGCAGAAAAGTAATAATGCCATTTGTCAACATTGGGTATTACCTATTTTAATTTTGTACGAACCACTACTAAGTTAAAGTTGACGGAAATTGCGTTTATTTTTAGTGATCTTGAAACACTTTACTGTTGTGTGCGAAATTCTTTGCATATTAATATTTATATAAAAATTTATTCATAAAATCAAATAGTAATAATAGTTACAGTCTTTCCGAAGTCAGTTGAATATGCAAAAAAACGCCTGGTAATAAAATTTAATGAGGTTCATAGGCGTTCCTAAACAAATTTTCTGCTAAGG